AGTAGGGTAGTTTAAAAAAATTAGCCGGAACGCTAAAACTCGACAAATGTAAGCCCTACAATTTATATAATTTAATTAAAATAAAGCTAGTAAGTATATTTTGTTCAGCTAATTAAGGCGTATCTTTTCCTCTATCTAAATAATAATTAAGTGTTGTTGTTGTTGTGGTGTTGTAGGTAGAAGTGTGGTTTTAGTCGAATATAGTTTTGGTGGTAGTAAGAACTGGGTGTCCTCAACTATAGTGATGAAAACGTTGTTATACGTCAAACCCCGTTACTAGGATCGTGGATCGAGTTAGTACTCGTATTTTCATGATTCAACCGTGGGGATCATCTCATAATCCTTTTTAACTCTCCCATATTGCTCGGTGGACCCAGCTGACGAACTCGGTGACGTCGCGTTTTCAGTTTACCGGTGTTTTGGGTGCGAATAGGAAACGTGCGTTCATACCTCACAACAACAAATGAATGATCACCATCAAAATAAATTAATTCAGCTCTTGAAGCTATTCGCACCTTATACGTTACTAACCTCATATCACTGTCGCGTCCACACTAGTGCTTTTACTGTAAAAATCAAACTTTTGACATATATTTGTTACACTTGTCGGGTTCATACCTGAAGCATCCCCCAATGCCGATGTTGTTTCTATAATTAAAACTTATACAAACCTTGTATATGGGGGTTTCACTGAAAGGTAATAACCATCGCCTAAGAGTTGCCTTGAGGCTTGAGCCCATTAAAGTCTTAAACAATATAAAAGGCGAGGGGTTACGGTAAGCAGCTCCCTTGAAATAATATATATTTATCCCCAGCGCCCTATTACCGAAGTATTAATAATATAGGTAGCATACACTTAAACGCAGGTTGCAAATTCTATTACATGCAGAAACTTTGTTACGATACCCATCTGAGGTCATAGCGATAATAGAGCGTAATAGGCTGATAACGAGCGGCATGTGGAAGTTGTGGTCGTTGAGTACAGTGAGTTGTGTGGAGAGTACAGTATGATCTTTTTACAGTAGTATAAAGGACGTAGATCATATGTATGTTTAGTTATGCAGGGACAGATGCTATGGAGATTTAATAACTGAGCCTCCGAGTACTCAACGGACCGACTAGCCGCATAATCGCTAGAACTCTATAACCGACGATAGGTAAATTTGTTTTGCTTCACAACCTTCACAGAAAATGTGCAAGGAAAATAAGGATGTCAAGAAAACTTAGACAAATCAACTCCGTACGGTGCCACAACGATCGCCAACATTATGCTCCGGAAGTACGGTATAGGCGAAAGCTAATACTAGGATACTCGCTAATAAGATGATATCCTCGTTGTCTTAGAATATTCCTGCCCGAGCATATTCTTGTATCTAGTTTCATCTGTAGTATATATCTCGCGAGACCTTCAGCAGTTTCTGTGATTGTGAGATACCAACGTGTCAAAGTATCATCCTGCCATCCTATCATTATATCAACATATCAGCTTTACATCATTGTCTCTGCACCTATAGAACAAAATGCACCTCACCAGTGTACTTCTCTGTCTCCCTCTCGCCTCCACCACCATGGCTTGGTGTTGTACCATCTCTTATTCGACCTGCGAACAGGCTGCAGCAAATCAAGATACGGTAACGATCTTTTGATGTTTCTGAGGGGTGTGGAAACACTTGCTAATAATGTGACAGTGGGTGAAGGGCTACGAGTGTGCTCCCTTGGGCAAACTCAATTCGTGTACTTATGGCACCAATTACAAAGTTTATGGGGGCTCGGAAGATTGTTAGACGTCATAACACTCCGATACGGAGGCTGGTAAATCATGTATTGGGAACATGGGGAGCGAAATTTCGGAGTGTTGTGAGGATCCGATTGTTGTTTACGACCTCGAGAGCTTTTGCAGGTGGTTCCGCGCTAGCTCCGCCGACTTTGGCTTTCCGAACCACCCTTCGGCAGATGTGGAGTGGCAAGTTGGGCTATTACACTATACAATCTTTTAGAAATCCAAAATATCGTGGTTTTTGCAATGGCGCGTCCAGCAATCTTCCTTGACTTGTCTTTTGGCCTGTGCCCCTGACTTCCTCTAAGAGAGGCGGGTATTAATTACTCTGTACACACCTTAGTTATAGTAATATTATTCTAGAGATCTCATACAACTAAATGAATTATACTGATAGTTTTGAATAATTAATACTTTTTACTCCTTATCACCCTAGGGCAAATATGACTATTTATTAAGTTATATTAGACTTTTAGTACTATCACTTTTGATAGTGTGTATAGAGCAATGAATAGGTTTATTACACCAGTAGTATACATCTTACTGCATTCTTTTATGTCTTTTCGTGGTTATCGAAACTTGTTTCTATCTTACGTTAGTCGGCGATTGCTCTCTTACCTTTCTCTGCTTTGTTCAGTCTAGAAGACAAACATTATGTCAAGCAAACCAGCCATCTTGGCCATAGTCGAGAATTTGCTCACAGATCCATCTTAGTACTTGAGTAGCTGTGCACGTGTGGCGGTGAACCACTATTGTGCGATATAGGATGAATTATGATAATATCTTGTAATGACTAGCAATCTTTCAGCCCATTAATGTGGATTGATCTTACTATCACTAAGGATGTACAGTAGTCTGTGAACTGCGGAATGTCTTGTAGAGACATTATGTCGAGCCTGATCTGTTGCATTGCCTCCCTAGTGATTTGAGTACGGCATATCACTTTTGTGCATCTCAATCAGGTCTAGAAAGTAACACCAATTACAACCACACGCCTGTTACATCTTTGTAGTTCACATTTCACGACATAATGATGTCCTGAGAAGAATACCCCGCTTTCGTTCCTTCAACAGTTCCACGCAATGAAAGATGCGAATATCAATCAACACCTCTGCATTCTCACGATCAGTTGTGGGACCCAACAATATATTCGAGCCTCTTGACAGCGAAAAAGGAAAACTAAGACTCGTGACTCTGAAAACCGAGACTTTTCGAGCAACATTTAGTGCACCCTCATGAAGGTCTCATTACTAGAGAATTCTTCCTATGATGGCCTCTCCTATGTGTGGAGGGATCCGAACTCCACAGTAGGAATCCACTTCAATAGAGTCTCATTTCAAGTTACCGATAATTTGGAAACGGCCCTTCGACACTTAAGGCTCTGTTCACTCAGAATATTGTGCCTCAACATCGTCCTACTTTTCCATGAAAATGGCCGTAAAAGGACGTCTCCGAGCGCGTTATGCTTCCTCTGGCCTAGTGCAAAATCCGTCTACGTACAGATACTGTAGATTACATTTTGATCCACACGATATTGCCCCGCAATATTGTCTTTGGTAGTAAAAGTGAAAATAACCTCCCGAGGTTGTTTTCGTACTTAATGTCGTCCTAAAGCGGACATAAAACGTACTTTATAGTAGTACCTATACCCTATTGCTTACTCATAGTTAGCCGTAGGCTGTCCCTATACTAGTCCCGCTGTAATATAATAGGAATATTTCTATTTAATTTCTATTTCTTAAAATTAGGGACTAAAGTAGCAATTCCCTATCGAATGTACTAGCTTATATAGACGTGCTATAAAGTCCTAGAGTTTTAGTACCCTAATTAAGAGTATAAGAGCCTGAAGCTACAGCGTGCGTGCCCTGAAGCAAAGTCCTCGCTTAAGCCCTTGGGTGTTGTGGATACAGATGTGGATTAAAGACCCACGGTACACGCATTAGCGTGTCTCCACTGGATATTGAGGCACAATATTCTGAGTGAACAGAGCCTAAGATATTCCGAGAAGGCCAGGGTCATATGGACTGATGCCATCTGTATCAACCAAAAAGACTCGAACGAGAGAAGATCTCAATTCACCAGTATGGGTTCGATATATCGGAAAGTGTCAAAAGCAATAGCGTGGTTAGGTGAAGGAGACTATAATAGCGACAATGTCTATGATGTATTTGATAATATACCACAGGAAGATGCGGCGACAGATTATACTATCTTGGATGACAATATTCTTCAAATCATTGTGAACCCACAAGTGTCACTTCCAATCAAAAGTTTCTTCTCGAAATCATGGTGGTATCGAATTTGGACGGTTCAAGAAAGCGTCCTCTGCCAGAATTTGATCATTCGCTGTGAAAAGAAATTCGAAGGGAAACATTGGACAATATTGACAGCTGTTTGATAAGACACAAACTCGTTCCTGCAATATCTGACCATCCGAGACGCTTGCCATCAAACATCAGAAATATCCGTAACATAGCAGAGCATCACAGATATCGGGGATTGCTTAGAATTCTACGAGCTGTAACGACATTCCGGAAACGAAACAGTCACCATCCCTGTAACAAGATATATAGTGTCTTGGGATCCGAGATAATAACAGAGCACCCTTTGATGTTACCAGATTACTTATGTTCAGTTGAGAAGGTATCTTACAAAGGTCTCGCGTTGAATCTTGTTTTCGTAAATGAAATAAACATCTTTTAAGCTCATGTTAATCTGCTCTGTTAGCTTAAGGCGTCAAGGAATGTCACGAGCATTAGCGGATCTTCTAGAAACCAGCAACTTGCTATTACTGTAGTGAAGCCACACCAAAGGATCCTGGTATCCCTGAATCCACGACCATATGAACTTTCTAGATCTTTAAATATAATTCTCTGGCACCGTGCGAACTACCTATAAATAGGGATTGGAGTAAAGTGCTACACACCTATATATGTTCTAGGAAACTAATGACTGCGTTAATGTAAAAGTGACCACAAAAGCCACCAAAGAATGTTATTTGCAACTCAACTAGCAACCGCGTCCTAGAGGAAATATTTGCGATATATTATACTCTTTTAAGTGGATCAATCACCTATGACATGTATCTAACTTGTGTGAGTACGTTTAGTACTCGCACACTGCCAATTCTGTAGTTAGAATCACATCTCGATTATGATATTATGTTTGAACCCATTTATAATGTTTGCATTTCCTTTGACTAGAACAAAAATCAGTCTTTCTGCTACAAGTAAATACCGTTCCATGGACTCTGTCCCATTGGAGCTCCGGCACCATTGATATCAGCTCTCACGAATATGTGCAACAACTCGCTTGCCAGCAACACAATTGGGGTATCAATCAATTTTGTAGCATCATCGTCACCGATAACTACTTTGATGATCTCTGATAACGTCTTGACGTCCATGTGTATTCCTGTTCCTTCTGGACCCCATCGATAGGGATATGCGACCCATGCTGGACAAATGACTTTATCTTCAGTAAGGTATGGTGCATTGATGAGTTCATAATCGGTTGAACTATTTATGCAAGGACCACCAGAAGCAGTGGTATTGAGAAGGTCAAATTCCAATCCTACGGGCCAACCAAGGACCTTTCGATGTTCAGTGAAATTGGGACCGACGGAAGGAAAGTTGGCGTGGCCATTGAGAGAAGAGTAGATCACGGGGTGCGTTCCGTCTACCATGGTAAAATTGGTCGCGATAGCAGCTTGGTCGTAGATAATATTCTTGCCATGGGCTGAGAGAATCAAACCCACAAGCTCTTGGGTGATATTATCGATCCGTATTCCAACATACTCCCAGTCGCCAACATGCTCTCCTAGAGGCGAAAGATCAACATCTCCAAATCTCTCCACTTTATCAAACACCAGGCTCTGGAACTTGGCTGTACCATGACCGTTATAGGCCGAAAACATCCAAAATTGAAGGTCGGTATAAGTAAGCTCGGGTTTCCAAAATGCATTTACGTATGCTTTCGCAGTTGGTAAATCTCCAGGTTTGACAGACTCCTCGATGTCTAGATAGAACCGGGTTCCTTCTTTAGGACCATTCGGGAGTTCCGTTTCGAGGGGATGGACTTTCTTGTGCTCTGGGTATTTACTGTCAACCAGCGTACAGTGTGCCAGAAACCATTCGACCGAGCACGGGAGGTATGTCTCCTCTGGATGGATTTGGATTTGGGGTCCGTATTTTTGGATTGCGGCTTCGATCGCGGATCGGGAGAGACCTCGTGACATTTTTCGGTAGGATGAGAGATTGTTCGTATAGATATGCAAATGCACATACAGGAAAGTTGAAAGAGGAGGGAAAGACAGGGAAATAGGTAGGTAGAAAGGTTTATAAGGAAATGTCAAAGGGCTGGGTTAGGCTGAGTCTTGCTCAAGAGGCACTTTGGCTGGATGATGTTGGCAGCAAGCCATGATCCAGAGACAGAGGAAGTCACGATTGAGGTGGCTTGCAGTTCTTGTCAACGGATGACAGGGTTGGATGATTTGAACCACATGCATCTCGGCTAAAATGTCCCACCTAGCCCCGCACCAATGGTGCACCTAATACAATTGTTTTGGTGGTCGTTTACTAATCGACAAAGGGAAGAAATGTTGAGGAGTTCGATGATTGATTGAATCGTTAGTCTCGGATTCTTGATTTTACAGTTGCGTATAATCCTCGAAAGTAGAAGTTTGGTGTAACATTAAGCGAGCTTCCATAAGCGAGAAAACATATCAGGGGGTGGTTGAAAATTAGATGACTGGCTGTGGATTTTGAAACTAAAACCATAGGTTTTCCATATAAACTATCAGAACACTGCGTGACAGTAAGCTTCGTTGTGATATGGAACCAAGAATATCAAGAGGGGATATAGGAATGTAAGATCTTATGGTTGCTTTCACCCAGGTTATTTGGTGAAATGTTTGTAAGTCTAGAAAATAACGCACTTGTCCCCAAAATAATGACTCGTCTGCAAAGCCTTCCCTAGAAGTGCTCAGAAAGGTTCGGTTTCTTCATTACCCATCATTGAATCTCATATTATCTCAATATCAGTCACATTCCTTGCATCGACGGTTTCTCCGTTCATAAAGCAATTTATGTACGCCTCACCCACAAGCTTTCTTTTGTCACTATCCCCTTCTCGCCTTAATATTATCGGCACAAAAGCTCCAGCCAAGATCCATACTTCATCACTCTCCTCCACAAATTGTGGAGCGATGCCGAGATAATTGTCATCAGTCCGTACTAGACGTCTTCCCATATATGCCAAGCGAAAATCCGCAAGTATACGGTAATATACTCCATTTAAATCAATATGATTCTCATTGCTCTGATCAATGATGGCTTGTATCATATCTAAAGTTGGGATCAAGGAGTCTTCTTCCGTGGAAAGCTTCGATAACAGGTCTATGTATTTATCCATGATACTCTCGAGTTTGCCCGATTCTTGCCTGTTCTTTTCCCGGAATGTGGGCTCTGAATTTGAATTTGACGCTATTGCTTGTTTATCTGACAAGGAGATTTGAAGCACCCAAACATAATTGGTGATTAATTTTGGAAATGCTAGACGTGCATCATCAGCTGCTGGTTGCCCATCATAGTTGTCTTTAATCAACGCCCTCCAAAATTGTTTAACAGAGTTTCGCTTAGGCTCCGTAGTCGTTGCAATCCGGAGAAGTTCGAGTAAGTCGCAAAACTTATGTTCGTCCACGATTTCAGAATAGTCTGCTGCGATTTTGGCAATAGTATTGATTTTGACACCTTGGACTCGTAGAATGCCATCGGCGTTTATCGGCTCTTTCCATGGTAGTAGGTCTCTACTTGCATACCAAGGCCCAACTCCGTCATCTGATCTCGGTATACCGTTTAGTGGTTCTGCAACTGGCGGAACGGTATAATCAGGCACCCATGATGGAAGGCCGGGCAGCTTACGGTAGGAAGCATCTTCCACTAAAGATAAACGATTGAGATCCCCAATTTCACGTATAACCAAAAAAGAAGCATCCGTGTACAGCTTCTCCGTGGTGCGCTGCTCTTTCGTGGTCCAGCCCCCTATAAGTGTCCAAGGTTTTTGTCCCAACAAAGCCCCGGACGGGGTCCACATTCCGAGAACCCCAAAAACTCGATCATCTGGATTAGTGGCATTAAAAACTCGACCGTTGGCCAGGAGTTTCTCCAGGGTAAGCGATTGTATTTTGTCGACATCGGTGAAAATGAATTGGTTTCGGATTTTATTCGTCACGAAACGCGTTGGTGGACCACCTGAGCCAACCATCTCCTCCACTTTGGAATTAAGCAACCTGTCCATATTCATAGCCATCAGTGTCATAATCCCATCGCTCAGAACTTTCCACTTGATTAAATAATCACCACAGAAGACGAAAATCTTCTTTGCAGCCCATCATTCTTGCACAACCCAAATACGGCTAAACCAGCTCCGGAGAATGAAAGCTGCGAAGTGAAGCCATTCCTCTTCAAATATGGGTTCCATACCAAGAGTGTCCCAGATACTACCATCGAAGAGATTATCTGGCAAATATACATTCCGCCTGGAAGGAGGAATAGATGCAAGCCTCTCAAGAACATCAATAGCAACACCCAACCTGGCTGCCTCAGGATCGTCTGAGTCTGGGCCTAACCATGCAATTACATTTTCGGCACCACAGTATATGTCTTTCATCATCTCTAACTGTGGCTTCTTTTCCACATCATCCTTTTGATTGATACAAATTGCATCAATCCAGATGCAATTTTGTCCAGAGTATCCATGTTCATCAAGACTCCACTTTTTCTTGCAAAGCTGTTTCAGGGCTTCATATAGGTTCTCTGCCACCTTGAACGCCTTTCCTTCGCATTTTATAAGTTCGGTTGGGCTGTCATCGATGATTCTCCTGTCATCTTCTCTCCAAATGGCTTGATACAGGGGGTGGGCCCACGTGTATGACAGGCAGTCGTAGATTGGCTTGTTATCGAGATTCAGGACTCGGAAAGAACAACGTATTGTCTCCCCTGGCTTTGAGTCTATACTAAGAACGCGAATTGAACGTGTATTTCCTGGCAGCGGGGTATAAATGTATCGATGAAGCTCGTCTTGGGAGCTTGGAGACATCACTGGAATTTATCAGTTGATATTCTTTGCGTTGACATAGAAAGTCTATCATGGGGAGAGAATTCAGGAGGGACTAAACTATTCTACAGTACCCTAGCATCGAAATTCAAACGTCCACAAAGTACGTACTTTTTTTTGGTTGGTGCTTCCAATCTCAAGCTGTTTAGATATGTATAATTTGGGTGTGGTTTGACCGACACACATGGTCTGGTTACATTGCCATGCAGACCACCTAGGTATTTATCGTCCATCGGAAGGTGGGTTGCCATCAGGTACAGTAAGCGTTAGTAACGCTAGAAAATCCTTGTTGATACATGAAAAGTTGGACCAATCTGGAAGGTTACCTTTTTTGTTTTGCCTTAAGATTGTGGCAGTGCAAGGAACTGGTTGTCTGGTACTATATACAGCGATATTCGTAACCTGTATTAAAAACGTGATTTTTAGGAATACTAAAAAGGTTCTGACATGCGCTACTGCCTAAATCTACATATATACCCATCCATGGATTAGAGAAGTGGCTGCGAATTGTTTTATTTGTTTTCTATTACAGTAGCGTAACCTGATTCGTCTTTTTTGTTGTTAGAGTTATTTCGAACAATGCAATCAGTTTACCGAAACCATTGGAACAATCAAGGGCATTGTACTAAAATATTTGAAGTATATGAATACTTTGAGCCAACCTACGCTAATAGAAAAAAGAGAAACCTGCCCCTCCTCTTGTCTACTGGGGCCGGTATTTGTTGTACAGAACCCTAATATCAACTGAACCAGAAAGTGAAAGGCATCAAAATCCACAATTTCAATTATACATTGTTTACAAATTTTCAGATATCGTACAAGATCCAAATAAAGGGTTCAGACCTCAGCGGAAGCCTTCCAATTATGCCAACACAATAGAAAATCCCTTTTTCCCCCACCAAGCCTTTGTGTTCAGATGATGCCCTTGTTTTTGACAACGTTGTATTTTGCCGGAATGGTTTGCACGCCGCCACTGGTTGGCTTTTGCTCGCATTTTTGACCAGGCACAGCGTTTCTGTGTGGGAAGACAAATTCCGGGTTTCAACTGTCCCAATTTTGACGTATAAGATCCTTGGCCTAAGGGCGCCTGATTGATGATGCCACATGGCTTTGAAGCGACGGTACATATATTTTTGTGGAATTGACACGTGTTTATGTCTGGTCCTGGGCATGGAGTCCGATCTCTGTTACAGTTACTCACGCACTGTTTCTGTTGTTTCCAAGTCCCATTGCCGCACGACAAGACTTCTCCACAAACGAAATTCATATTTTTAGGGCAGTCTGTGGAAATTTGACATCGTATGGGGGGGTTTGAACCAGTAGTTTGTTGGTTTGGTGGCAAATCATCCAGTCCGTCATTCAGATAGGGGACTTTGACGGTGCCATCTATGGTGAGGTGGCTCACAATATCTTTAACAGTGACTGTACTAATGCTACTGGATGACTCTGGGCCAACAAAGTCTGTCTTGTTAGATCCGGTGGCGGCGTATCCTTTGGATCCCGAAACACAGAGGTTCTTGCTACCCCATATTGAGTCTGACGCATATTTCCACAATGCGGTATAATTGTAGAAAGTTTGTGGTGTATACCATATACGACAGTCTGCAGCTTCATAGGCAAACTGCAGCGGAATGGTCTCGTCTGCGTACTTGATCTCTAAGATTGATGGAAGCCGAATTTATTGAGAATCCGCGTTCTTCCGTGCGATTAGGGAGAAAATCTGCATCAGAATCGTTTCTCAAGTTGAGAATGAACCTAGCAAGTTCTGTATGGGCATCAAGGGTGTCGATTGTATAGACAGCGGCACCCCTTGTGCCACTTGCTGCTTGCATTGGACCATTGATGGGCTGTCCACCTACAACAACGACTCTGACGCCTGCTTCATGATGCATCATCTCCATAAATAAAGTACAAGCAGATGAGCAGAGCCTGTCCGAAAGCTTTAAAATGTTAGACATGTAGCTTAGCTTAAAATGAGAAAGCACGTATCAAAATGGCACTTACAATAATAATGTCCTCAGCGGCATAGGGAGGAATAGTTGATTGGGGAATATTTGAACCATATCCAAAGACAGTATAGTCCGGTTCTAAATCATCAACAACTGCATCTTGATCATCCAGCGTGGCTTTATTGTCAAAATATGCATCCGAGAGGTTGTAACGTGAAATTATCGCCTCCACTCGCATTGGGACCAAAGAAAGCGTCCCAATTCGAGAATAACTTTCCAGTATTAGCATTTATCCTTTCAGAAGAAACAAATTCGTCAGCATAAAGAATTTCTTTCAAGGTTATTGCGTCCTCATCTGTCGTCTCGTCGTCTGCAGTCGTGGATGGGTCAGGACCATTGATTATATCCACGAAAATGTCGTTGATGGATTTCCCCATTACGTATGCGGCAGGATGAGCTCTCATTCTAGACCCAACGTATGGGTCAATGTTAGGGAAAAAATGCCTAAATGCAGCAATCGCAAGAAGACTCTGACCCCCACTATCTTGTTGTAAATCAATCACCACCTTTTCCAAAATCGCGCTTCGGCTGCGCGCAGTTAGTATGTAATATCAGCATTCGCAAGCGACACGAGTCTCACCTTTGTTTGAGAAAGTTTGCAATGGTCAGGTCGAACGAGTCGATTGCTTTACCATCATAATCAAAAGTTGGCAGAACGAGCACTGCAATAGAGCTATCGTTGAGGAAATATCCTAACGACAAAGATCAGCCAAAGGAGCAGAGAATCAAGAGTTTGACTTATCACCAGTATATCCCCATTCTTGTGAGATATTAGGACAAGTCGGGTAAGCAGCATTGTTGAATGAACCAGCGCAGGTGGGAGCTGGGCTGCTATCATCTGAAGTGGCTGATACAGGTGTATCTGGATCTGTAGTGGGCAAAGGGTCTGAAGACGTTTCCAATGACATTTCATCTGCCGGAGTAGTGATATTATGGGTGTTGTTGTCCACCAAGTAATCCTCATATGAATCCGGTAGAATCCCGAGTACAAAATAATTATAGAAATCTCTAATAAATGAAAGGTTAGTCAAAGTTTACATATTGTTATTTTCCATTGGAGTGAACGTACCCCCCTGTCTCCAGTGGTCCAGCATTACCAGGGCTGTAGTAGATGGCGATGCAGTCATCATGGATTTGAGTCCCATTTTCAAGAACGAATGTGACAGTGTCTCCAAAGTAGACTACAAAAGATCTTGAAGTTAGTATTGCCACCTCTCGCAACATTTCAAAGGTGTGAAACAAATATAGAAGCAAGGTGAATTCTTAGGATAGAAAGATGATTTGATAGCCTTGATTACAAACGCGAAAGAAAAGGAACAACTCACATGTGACACGGCCGCCAAAGATATTAATATCGCCTTGATTGTCTTGAGCAGCACTGCGCATTAACGAGTTCCAATCTGCATGCTGCTCCACCAGCCCTATTGCGTTTTTGGTAGCGAACCTTTTGGGGTACGAAAAATTGTCTTCTCCGTTGATTGAGGCCACTGCTGATAGAGTGTAATTTATAAAAGCATTACTTTGCGCGAAGTCATGAGTCAAATAAACTTTCGGAGTTTGTATTCCGTCCTTCGAAAGGGTAACCAAATCATATGGACTTGCAAAACGGAAAGCTGCTAGTATACCCGCGTCCAAAGTGAGATGGCCATCGTGTGAAGCAAGTAAAAGTGCCTGTAATACTGCTTCGAATTCATATTGATTAGGGAAGATTCCTCCTTCGATCCCTTTCTTGAGATCTTCAAGACCCTTCAACAAGTCGACTGCGGGTTGTTGGTAACTAGTAGGTGGGTTCTTGAGGTAAGACAAGGTGCTCTGGAATTGAAGAGTATCATTGAAGTAGTCTAGGAAGCGAACTGCGACCGCGGGATTGAAGGGAACACTCGTGAGACATTCGTACGCGAGGCTAGCAGGGAAGGTGTATTCTGTGCGAGATTAAATATGAGGTTCTTCACATATATCGGCACAAAGCTCTACATACCTGGAGAATTAACAATTTTGCCGCATGCTACGCAGGGAGCAGTATCTCGAGCGGCTTTTGCTTGTGCTTGTGGCAAGGCAGCAGATATTCGGGATAACACCGCGGCAACACGAAGTAGCGAAAGACTTTTTAAAATATACATATTAAGAGATATATAAAGACCAAGACGAAGACGCAATAACGAGTGGACTGCGATAAATCGCAGTAAAAGTGCACAGAATACTGTGAAAAGAGAAAAGAAGAAGTGATGTAGAAAGACAATGAAAGTGCATACTGCACGTAGCGCATTCAGCCGCACATTACAAATATCGAGCTTGACCGGTATCCGTTTTGATCATGTTAGTATCGCTTAAAGACCTTGCCTTGAAAGGATCAAAAGTTGTACCGGTAACTACTACCACGCGGGAATGGCATAATAAAATGAGTCCACTCGGTATGATCAGCCGCAAGATGCGCATCATCTCCAAGCAATTATTCGTCGAGATTTGGCCCCCCATGTTCCCCCTGCGCCCGATGATACTTAATAGAACGTTGTCGTAAAATCTCACTGCATGATACAAGGATCATAAGCTTCCTGAACGCAAACGCTCACTTGCAGGGAGAGACTGAATTCCGTCGAATCAGCCGATGGGGCGGCCTTTCCGGTGTCATACAAGTACCGGTAGTGCTTGAGGAAACTAGGAAGGCTCTAGTTCCAAACTAGGCGTCTCTCCGACCATCTGATGCAGTCACCAACACCCCGAAGCGAGATGAAGAAAACATATTGTCGAGGTCAGCATTGCAAGTGTTATGCAAGGTCGAGAGGAAAGAGAAGGTACAAACCTTCCAAATGCTCCGATATTCTTCTTATAATCTTTTGATTTATATATAAAAGGTATTGCAGTAAGACTATTAAACTGTCTACGTTTACAATTATCCACGCTTACTGTTATTAACGCTGCCTATTATATACCGCTTACCGTACCGAACGTCGCAGCTTACTGTATTTGTTAAGGAAGAAGGAAGAGAAGAAAATAGGCTGAATGAGACAGCAAGATCAAATTGATGCTGAAGGTATAAAGGAATGTATTAAGGTGATGGATTATTTGCCAGAACTCTTGAGGAAAACTGGGTTATATAGTGGCTGGTATGACATAAGCTGGTCACATGACCACTTGCTTCGTCACTGAAGAGTCTAGAAGATAGAAGGGTTCTCAGCATACCCAGTCTCTTTAGATAAGGCTCCCTCCCTCTGGCTCAAGCGAGAATACGACGTTATCCCACGAAACAGTAGTAGCTCGCCTTATGTATATTATTTGCATCCCTTAGGACGACAGTTATCTATATATAGAAGCCGTGAACACGATAATAAGGGAATGTGATATCTGTAGCAACAACGACAGCGACTGCAGTTGGGAAGAGGAATGCGCTGCAATGAGGCTGTAATGGCGATGTTAGATGACGTGCAGGAGACAGTGAGCTGGGGGACGTAAGGAATGTCAGTCTCAATACTCGTAGTTGATGAGATAGCTCAAATATGTTCTATAGCAAAAAAGGATTAAGTACAACCTTATGATGAAATTCTTTTACTCTATACTCTATTCGCCTATGTTCATTCCATAAAACTTAACCATACAAATGAAAATTAGAAATTACAATTTAAAACGCTTTTACAGAGACAAAACAAAGCCCATCAAAATCCATCACCTATCACATTACCTATCGCCCAACATCGTCACAGAACTGGCATAACTCTTCGTATATCCAGCCATCCTCGGCGCGCGAAGCGAGGTACCACCTCGAAGTGAACTTCCGCCGCTAGGAGCACCGCTCCTATGAGCCATAGCCTGAGATTGATATTTACTCACCCGGAAACTAGATCGACTAGATGCAGGTGCACTATTGAACATCGAAGGACAATTACTGAACCTTGATCCAAAATTGGCACGACCGTAACTGGTCAATCCACGACGAGCACGATATGCAGGAGCTTGATTCTTTCCAATCCAGAGTAACTGCTCGTGTTCTTTCAGATATCTGCCTTCGGAGAATGAGTTGAGCACGTTGGTACGACCCATCATACCGAGACGTCGACGATGTTCTGCTTTCTCGTACATTCGTGCTTGAATGGCTATGACTTCTTCTTTGGTGGGTTCTAGTGCAAGCTTAGGCCGGAAACCAGGCTTGTCTTCGGCGTATTTGCTCCATTCATCCAAGAGACCGAGAACATTGATCTGGGCTCGAGCGAGCGATTGGGCGTCATTGGGTGCGACGACTGCACTGAATTTCTTGAATGTCACTGGATCTGTAACTACACGGAATGAGGCACCGACATCGGTACAGACAACTGGTACACCTGTCAAGGCAGCTTCACCCATAGCCAAAGGCAATCCCTCGGAAACAGAAGAATTCAAGAACAGCCACTATGCGATGGTCAGTGGACAACAATTCTATGCAGAGTACTAGAAGACTTACGGCATGTTCAAGAACTTTAGATGGGCTGCCGAGACCTTTAAGAATGACCTTTTCACCAAGTGACTTGGAGGCGATGATCTCCTGACATTCGACCGAGTACCCAGGTGCCTTCTCCATATCTCCGTAGATATGAAGGTTATAATCTGTGAATCCCCATTCATTAACGATAATGTCGGCAGCTAGAATGGCTGTTTTGATATCTTTCACGAATCTAACCAGCGAATTAGCTACCGAATACATCCAGATGCACTCAGATTATACGTACCGAACGTGTGACAACATGGTCACTGTAGGAACAGTAGACTTGATCTTCTCAATGGGCTTGAACGACTCCATATTACAGATTCCATTAACCACAGGATCAATCTTTCGCTTAAAGGAGCGACGATGCTCAACTGTACCTTCCTGTGTTCCAATTTCAATTTCCCAACCAGGGTTGAAGAAATCAGCACAGGGAAGTACAACATCCGCGTGGTGCAATGTAAGAAGTGATGTAAGACGGGAAAGCCCAATGAGAGAATTGCCGACAAATGGCGCATCCAAAGATATAGCAGAAGACAGGAAGACGGTCACTTCTCTCCAGCTGATACAGTGATCCCAGACGTGAAAAGCAACATTTCGCTTCACTTTGCAGACAATGCCATAAGAGGCGCCAGCAAAGTGATGAGATGCCTGAATGATATCTGGAATCTTCTCAGGTATTGGAATCGAAAAGACGAACAAATCTGAGATGCCATAGAGTTAGTCTGTGACACATATGTTTATAAGAATAAGGGACAATAGGGCTATGACTTACAGCGATGCCACATATCCAAGGCATAATCAAGATGTAGTAATGTAGGGCATTCTGCATGTAACCATTCTTCAATCGGTCTCGCATTCTCAACATTTTCAGCAAGCCAGAGTTCTTGCCACGCTTGTTTGACAATTGGACTCAGCCAAACATCACCCCAGTGGCGACCAGATTCAAAGTAGGTGTTCAAATCAACGAGAGCTTTGGTGGTTTCCTCCATCATCTGACGATCGATTTTGATGGCTCGTGCACCCCGAACTAGAGTCTTCAGAATAGGAATGAACTGTTTCCGAATATCATCGTCTCGTGTATCATGAGACTTTCTTTGAACCTCCGAGTCAAGAATATTTTGGAAAATTCCATGAGTTGGGGTAAGGAAATCCATTCCCCACAGTGGCAACACAGTGAGTGACTGCACGTTCTTCTCAATTTGAAACTTTGGCACACCAAAATCATTGGCGTTCTCAGCAACAATATGCCATCGAATACTATTCAAATTGTTGACCATGTCTCGACGACAGGCAGAAACACCACCACCCTCGTTTGGCCAGGTCCCCGTATCGAAAGCCAGAACGTGGAGTTCGTCTTCGGTATCCCGCATCTGAGATGCCTGACTTCTTGTATTGATTCTAGCATCACCACCTTGACCAAATGTGAACATATCGCTCATCTTATACGCAAGTGGAGTCCATGAGCTAATATCAGATTCAATGTCGACTCTTGCCATAATAGTGTCCATCCGTGATTCCAGGTAATCAGTTGCTTTATCAAGCCTACTTGTATCACGAGCTATCCAGTAAGGGCGTAAATCGTGATCAGAACGAAGTGAACGCTCATCCAGCCATCTGGCAGTGACCGCATCCAATTTTTTGCCGCTCTTCCAGGCCTTCCAAAGATGTGTTCTTGCACGGGACGTGGAGATTGGATAATGTTTTCTGTTGAGAGAAAGCAAGCGTTCCAAAAAGCTTGATTGGGCGGACTTGAACAAGAAAAGTGGGTTCTCGGTGACGAAGGAGCAATTTTGAGGCTTCTGGAGAACTTTGAAGAAGTCATGCCGAATCATAGGTGGAGTTTCTACTTCAACCCCATCAAGGGTTGTCAATATAGTCGGGTGGTGCTTGTGTTCGTAGGTCCATCTGCTTCTATAAACTCTATGTTCATCTACATTTGTGAGGTCTGTAAAGGTCGCCTCGGTGACCTTGATATATGGGATCCATTTATCCAACTTTTGCGGATTTTTTGCTGGTGGCGCGCTCCATGCGACTTGGATCTTGATATGAGCAAGTTCAAACTCGGCTCTGAGAAGCTCATCCTCGTGCTTGGCATGCTTTCGGTAGAAGAATTTGAATTGAGTAAGATTGCCATCCTTGACGTATGACCCGGATGTAATATACCCTCTCTTGTCATAATGAACAATCTGCCCTTGAAGAGGTCCGTTGACACACTCTCTCGCTAGGGGAACCTTTGAGCGTGACTTTTTGTCATCGTGGTATTTATACTCGAAAACATTAGTGCGCTGCTCTTTCGAATACTCTTCTCGTCGGCGTAGAACCATCTTTCCGGAGTATGTGTTGATGGCCATCAAATTCCAAGTTCCCTTGGGATTTTCTTTTAGTACTCCTGAGTACTGATGAAGCTCGGATGACCCATCAGGCAAAGTGTTAAAGAAGCACGTCGAAGGTCCATTGAGACTCTCCACATCGATCTTGTTCCTTCCAATCACGGTATTAATGCCTTTCATCTCACGATAAAGCTTGGAGACACCTTCGCGATTGTGAAGCTAGAAGTTGTATTAGGTTTACTGCTTGTAGATCAAGTTGTGGTCTTACTTACTAGAACATGGGGGAGAATAATCTTCTGTAGGGTCTTGCAGAATAGCCATACAGATGTGAGAAACGAGGTCACGATCCATCGAACCAAGGCGGGCTTCCCATACATGACGTATTCCAATTCTCGAGCGAACTCTGGATCAGCGACGAGAGCAACGCTCAGGAATTTGGTAGAATGGGTCATTGCGTGACGTAGTGTGGTAAGCGGACGTTTGAAGAACGTGCTAAGCTTCGTCTCCCTTTCATCGATACTTTGTGGGAGTGCGAAGTTTGGATTCATGTCGTAAGTTGCATCTAGAGGCTCTTGTAGATCAAGGTGGGTAAAGTCACCCTCCAGTAATGTGGCGAAATCGTTTGTGAGCATTGTCACAGCAGCGCCCAAATTGCAACGAGCGACATACTCGTCAATATCCAATGACTGCCCTCCACCGAGGTTCTGCTTCATCCAGTCTACGTGCTCGTTTGACACATGATAATGATCTCCGCAGGCTCGTTTCAGGAGGAACTTCCTCATATGCAGGGGCAAAGTATCCCACTGAATGTCTGGATCGACACCAAGAAGAAGATACTCGAGAAGACATCTGTCTCCACTTTTTACTACTCTCGTTCGCTCGCTTGTGGAATTCTGAAGTTGTCTCTTAACACCTTCTGGGAGGGCTAGTTCTCCACCGTTGTTTTCCACGGCCAGCAGCTCTGCCAACATTGAATGGTCATGTGAGAGACCAAGTCTTGCTTCACATGTTGCTTGAATAATCGCTTCCGCAACACTAAAGACAGATTAGCATATCTCATTTTTTGATTGTGACGTAACGTATGTCCTTACACTTTGCAGTTCCTGCGGATATCCATCACCCACTCACGATCGATAAGATCAAGACCGAGGAATACGAAAACCTGTAATCGACCATTCGTATCCCGAGAAACCGTTTTCAACTTTTGTTCCTGTCTGAGGAAATGACGCATGGGAACAAGCTCGATAACAATCTCGCCGCTCTTCCATAACTCTACCGTTCGGCGTACCAGTTGGTCTGCATTGGGAAAGGCATCAGTAACTATCTTGGGCTGACGGTGCTTGCTCCGAGATATTAGAATTTCCATCACTTCTATGCCTGGGTGGGTTTCAGGGTCGAGTCTAAATCGCAATTCATTACTAAGAGCGCTGAAGGAATCAACCATCTCGGATAAAGAGGCCTGTGACTGTTGCATGTGAGGAGCAATAGCTGTGCTAGAATGTATGGCTTTTGGTTTGCGCAAACCGGTATCTTTACTGTTGGGTTTTCCAAGATGAACGTGGAAGAAAGAGAGGATAGCCGCAATCCAAGTGGCAGTTCCAAGCGCGATGACTGAACTGAATTCGAAGGTGGGCACTACTCCGTGTAAGACCAAACCGACCACCAATCCGATTATAACAGCCGCCCCTGGTTCTTTAAATGCGAGTGGTCCAGTGAAGATCCGATTGTATTGGTAACAAAGAAGACCAGCATAAGATGTTATGTATGCGATGTACAATATTGTGCTACTCGAGGAATTGGTGAATGACCAAAGAAGCCCTGATGTGAGGGAAAGTCCCGTTATATGCATGAAGAAGAACTTTGTCAGATATTCCCAATACAACCGTTTTCGGGACTTAGCATTGTTGACATTGACCTCTTGAAGGGATTTGAATGATCTGATGGGCTGAGCGATACGCTTTTGTGACAACGCCCAAAGAGGTTGCGACACCCCATCGAGAAATACTGCTCCGATGAGATAATAACCCAACCCAAGACCCACAGCCAAGCGATACATCTCGTTTTGCGCGTTGGAAAGACCAACAATTGGTCGACCAGTAAAGATTGAAATCCATTTATCTAGAAGCGCAAGAGCAAAGTAGAGGGCGCCCCCCCACAACTCGTTGCCTGCATTACGCCAATGGACAAATGCGTTATGAAGTTTAACGCCCTTCTGCATATCCCACAAAGTCTCAACGGCGGTTTTGCATTGAAGATTCCATGTTGGGCTGTATGCGTACGGCATCTTACTTCTTGAGTACTTGCAATACCAGTCCATCAAGAACATCGTGGCTTTGTAGCCCTTTGCCATTTTCACAATCCGTTCGTCTGTTGACTTGTCCCATCTATTCCAAAATGGCCGAGTATGCTCTTTCAAGACTGCGGCATGAAGAGCTCTACGTGGTAGGGAGCTCTCAGTTGGTTTGATGTCTTCGTGACTGGGTTTCTCCGAAAGATTGGACTTGGAGGCTTTCAATTCATTGTACCAGTTCATGACCTCAATGTCAGTCATACACGGTATGTCGAGATACCAAGTGCTCCAATCAGACATCACCCCACGTGCACCATGTAGGAGCGAGAGTACGAAAACAGTCAATACAATTATGTACACCAAGAAATCATGATTGGTCCAGATTGTGACGATAGGCGGAAAAAGAAGGATCGGTATCCGAGATATGACGACGGTTCTTCCCGACTGGAAAGCAAACCCAGGAAACTGGTAGATTGAGAGAGTCGCTAGTAACACAAGGTAGGTATTGAGGAGGAGGTAGTAGGCGAAAAACACGAATCCAGCGTAGAATCCTTTCGTGACACCGACAATAATTAGAGCCAGAATGCCTGTTGTGAAACAGATCGCAAATCCAGCAATAAAGCGAGTAATTACGAACATATTCATTGCTGGGAATGTCATGGAGTACAGATAGTAACTTCCGCCAGTAGCGACCCAAGTTCCAGTAGCACCGCACAGGAATAAAGCCACCATGAGTGCTATCGTTGCCATCTCCTTCTCTTCGTTAGACATAAAGGTAGTGAGATAAAGTCCTCTCCCCAGAGTTGTAAGCAGCATGATATCAATAAAAGCTGGAATTGCAAAAATACCCAAGAAGGTGATTCGATGGTACCATGGCATCAAAGGGGTGTCTCCATACTTCGGATTGATATCAGTCAGTTTAGCTGCATATGCAGTCGGCTGCTCTGTGGTCGCGTCATCTCGCTGCGGTGGTTGATTGATTCGGTAGTATGCAAACAATCTATGGGAAAGAATCTTTCCCACAGCGTTTGGAGTCATACCAAGGTAACCTTCACATCCTGAGCCAAGGGCAAACATCTCTGCGTAACAAGCAGCCTGGTCAGGTTGAGGATTTGGGAGTGGATTACGGTCCATGATTTCCATAAAGATCTCATTGATGGCCAATTTCCTGAAGGCACAGAATATGGATAATGCAAAGATATCTGCACTGGCGTCAATCTGGTGCCTCTGGAGTACCGTTTCAAGGACAATATCGAGCTTGTCAATGAATTCGGCTTGTCTACCCAGCAGGATCGATGAAACACGAGGCTCCATCTCACTAAAGAGTCTGATTGCTGCTGCCGAGTCTGGGCAATCACAATGATTGTCGCGGTACCACCTGAGACGGGATTCCACCAAATCCTCAGCCGAGATTTTGTTTTCGATATAAGAGGTGGCGTTCAAAGCCTTGAGCTGAGAGAGTGATGGAACCTCCAGGAGTTGATACTCACAGCAAGATCGTATATTTGCTGCGAGCATGGGGTAGTCTTTCAGACAAGAATACTCCATTCGCTGCATGAAAAGAATCGTCTCGGCGGGGGTCAACTGCTCCAGATCTTGCACGATTCGAGGTGATAGTGCCCAAGAATCGGGCAGTGTGCCCAATCTATCGGAGAGCGTAATCTCAGCCATAAAGCATTGAACTCGCGAGCAATCCTTACTCGACATGAAAGTATGCAGAATGGTACCAAGACGATCCTTCGTCCTTCCCGAAATGAAGATATTCATTCTTGCGGCAACAGCATCGTAGTCATATAGACCCCAAAACTGACAAAATGCGGCATCTGAGCTAGTTCGAAACCCAGAATCTAGTCCAACATAGATTCTCAGTCGATCGTTGCCATCCCCTTTGTTCGCTGCAAGAAGGCGCATCAAATCCTTAATAGCTTGAGAATCCTCGAATGAGATATCGAGGAATGACTGATCGTCGTACAAATTCTGTAGTTGATCAGCCATCCTGTTCAACTCCCCAGCTTCCAAGCAATCGAGCATTCCAAGATCCTTGAGACGATTCTGGGTCTGTACAAGGTCTGTAAAAGCTGTAGGCGAGGCTACAATGCCGAGCTGAAAGCATCCTAGGCCAGTTCCATCCATTTGATGGGAGGATGAATGGAGCTGTATTGCGTTTGCTGGAGAGTTGTAGTCTCGCCATGGCCATTCAAAATTGCCACTGTCTGTCGAAATGGTTGATTTGGTTACTTCGCTCATGTTTCGCCCATGTTTCTGCTTGCTAGAGACCAGTGCTAGCATATCTGATAATTCAGGTATGAATTCTTCCAGAGAAGAATATATCTCGTGATCGCCAACTGCCTCGGGAGATATCTGTACAGGGAAAGAATGTTAGCGACCGGGGCTTTTTGTGTAGCTCAAGCTACTCCTTTTTTCTTCATGTGTCCTCCCTGTCTGCACTTACTCGGTCGTTTGCATTCCAAATCTTCTGTGCCTCCATGATATTTTCGCTCTTCAGCCACATCATGGCACCGAGTGGCTCACCCACAACAGTGTGGGCTTCCGCATAATCCGCATCCAGCGTGGCAATACTGTGGCCAATCCAGCTGAGGGCGCTGCTGAACCGACACCAATTGTAGCTGCGAGTAACCACGGCATGATCCAACTCCACGTGATTATCAACAGACTCCCACATCATGACTGTGGCACCTGTTGTTTGTGCTGCCAGTGCTCGAAGTGGTAAACGCATGTCAGCCATTTGGAAATAATTGCGGCGTTCACCATTCGGCATGATTGTTCCATTCCGGCAAACAAGGCCCTTGAACAGAGAGAAGTTGATATCACGGCATTCTGACGCGCTTAAGAACGTGGGCGGAGCTACCTCTAGGTAGACATCCAAGCCGAGAGAATGTATATATCTGACAAGTTCGTTGAAAATAATTGGAGGAAAATGCTGTTGCCCATTCGCCAGGAGGGCACCGGTGAAAGGAGTCTGGGAATCGCGGGGGCGTTTGAACGACGACACAAGAAGATCATTGAATGCTTTCAACGAAGGTACGAGTTTAGCAGGTTCTAAAGAACGCTTGACATCCACAAGCGTTCCCACATCCAGTCGACCTATGATCTCTTTGGAGGTGGCCGAAGAAATGGCTTCCAAGACTCCTGAGCCAAGAGGATTGAGGATAAGTATATCCCATTTGGACAAAAGGCGTTGCTGCGATTCCGTGGGAGGATTGGTGAGACTTCCTGTAAAAACACCAAATGATCTAGGTGCTGGTCCTACTTTGACATCGGAAGATGGGAAGCGCAACTGGTTTTTCTTAGAGAGCTCAGAAAATAACTGCGAAACTTCATTTGGCAATCGAGTGATTGCATGTCTCGTCTATTTGGCCACAAAAATTAGTCAAGATGTTGCCACGATCGTATTTGGTCATAACTTACCGCAAGATATGCCTTTACTCTGCCGACTATAAGATAGATAGAGTAACCTAGGCCGAGAAGTAAAGTAGCAAGTGTGAGACCAGCAAGAAACTGAACATCATCCCGATATCAGTATATGAATTCACTTCCACGAACAATTCTCTCCCACATACCAAGTCCCACCAGTCATGTATCATATCATCCCATCCATCAATTTCCACACCGAGGATGTTGTCATGCCACGAATGGGCATGTTCGCTCGACATGGTGTTGACGAATGGAGCCGCTGCAAACCAGAGAAACAAAAGACAAAGATTAAGGGTATTAGATTGAAAGGAAAGGAGGGAGTTGTGAATAGGAACGCCAGGTTGAAAAAATTAAATCTAATCTCTTCGTACAAAAGAAAGGGTAGCTCACAGAAACCAGAGAGTGGGTACAAATTTTCACTTGTAAGCCGGACTATCCCACCTGAAGAATGGTTCAAGTGCGTAGAAATCGCAGGTCCGTGTCTGGCCTCCACAAATAATCCAAGGCAGCACTTTTCGCTGAGCTTAGGCAAGGCGTCAATGGCAGCTGGACCTTGGAGTCTGTTCCTTGTCACTAGTCCTACGATCAACGGCAATGACTGGCTAATATCGCCCTATTGCAGGGCCACAAATATAAAGTAAGAACTCTGATCCTCCTGAAGGGGCATAGAGCCCACGTCAGAGAGCCGGGGGATGTGCGCTGGCATGCCATGGAGGCGATGAAGCGATCCCGATGCAAATTTCACAACTGATAGTTCCCGCGTCTTTGTTCTTAATATGGAAAGTTGAGATTTAGGGGTCGGGGGCCACATCTTTTACGAGTTCGGGACCTGGGTTGCATATTGCCAGGGTGAGAACCAGGGGCAGCTAACAGGCCATCTGAAGACTCTCACGCCAACATTGAAACATTCTCTTCAATCTCCTCATTTTTAAACGACAGTCCTAGTAACCGTAAACGAAGCATGTCTTCGCGAGAGTTAGCTGTTGTCAAGCGATGCGCAAGAACCGAGTCAAGCTGAAAATGGAAGAGTGTCGATAGTCAGGCTCATAGGACGGATGGAAGGAATGCCTTTCAAATAGTATATGAAAGCTAGGCAACTACAAGAGCCGTGGGGGGATAAAGAGACGATAAGGTTTCATCGAACCAAAGAACGGATGGCATTCCTCATTTAGTCAGACGAAGGCCCACCTTCTCTAAATGCACGGGTAATGTACATTCTAGCAACGAAGCGAGGATTAGCTGCTGACAAACAGGCATAGGCAAACAGATACATACATACGCACTTATGGATCAGCTCTTCACTTTCGCTTCTGTTGTGTCCATTATCCGTTTTCTGCTAAACCTGCCAAAATTATACATGTAACCCAGAACCATGTTTTGGATACTGATGGCTCGCACATGTTTTAGGGGGCCACAAATGGCACACGTGGCTTGACAGATGGGAGAGGTATGAAGATGTATTGGTAGTAGGGGTTTTGATCAAGCAGCCATTCTCGTGAGGCTGTTTTGGTTCGAAAATTAATTGCCTGCGTCTGCGAGGATCTGGCGATGTCGTTACGATCTTAGCGTACAGAGCTGGACTTGGCGGGGATGAGCGTGCGGGGCAAGACCCCGAGCATCCGAGAGGCGCTTTTAGGGTCTTACGGGAGCCAGAATGTGCCGTCCGATGTTGATGACCGTCCAGTCCTGGCCACCCCAAAGTACCAGCTCGCTAAGGAAAAAATACCCCTGGTGCAAAAAAAAGCCGCCCGAGAATAGATGAGTCTATGTCATCTTCCTGACCTTTTCCATTCGATCGCAAAATATACCTATAGAGGAAAAGTTCGGAGTATCAAAGTTTTCCATTCGCTTTTCAACCACAATGAGCTGACCCCTAAAAGCTGGAAACGCTTCGATCATCGTGCACCTGTGGGGGCTGAGGCTTCGTTTGAGACTATCAATCTTTCAATTTCCTCTAAGCCATTTTTCCAGCCTGGCTGAGCGTGTCTGAGCGGAACTATGGCCACCTCTCTCACCGGATCCTTTCATTGGTATAGCTTTCTCATTCCTTGAACTCTGGGAGTGATGTCTGTCACATTAACATTTCGTTAAAAGTTTCATCAGCCATCCGCTTCTCCTCTACGATGAAAGGCACCAGATATACCAACAGAGGTGTATTTGACCGCACGTTTCGCGGGAGAAGCCCAAGGTGCAAGTGTTTGACAATCACTGCTTTAGTTATCGCCATCCTTATCATCATAATTATTCCCACTGCTGTTGTTGTTACCCAAAGAAATTCACTTCTTCCAATTCTTCCAGCCACCGTTTTGGTACCGCTTTATATCTATCCCACCTATGACAGAACTTATGATCCCCTTCACAATGCGTACGTCTTCCCATTTCACCCTGTCAAAACGAAGCTGATTATTCCAGATAGTGTTCAAGCACATCCTAAGCTAAACTTCACCGTTATCATTAACCCATCAAGCGGCCCTGGCTCGTCACCGTTACCAGATAGCAGTTACACACCAGAGATACAGAAAATGAATGCATTTCCGAATGTGAGAACCGTTGGCTACGTTCGAACAGGATATGGGTCGAGAAATATCAGCGAGGTGCTTGCGGATGTGAATACATATTCAGGATGGGCCTCCAATCAAAGTGCCAATATTGCGATGCATGGAATATTTTTTGATGAAGCTCCGTACCTTTATTCACAGCAGAATGCTGCATTCTTGGTGACGATCAACCAAGCCGTGAAGAATTCTACAGGTATCCAACCAGATCGCATCGTAAGTCTTTTCTCCCCAGCCCTTGTGCTATGTTACGAAATGATGCTCACCTGGTTCAAAGACGATACACAATCCTGGCACAGTACCCGATGCTCGACTCGTCGACGACAGCACAGATTTCACCGTGGTATTTGAGGGATCATATCAAGAATTTAAAGAGAAGCAAGGATCCCTATCAACCCTACCCCAACCTCGCTCGAAATACTCTAATGTGGTTCATTCGATTCCAAAGCTCAGCAAACATTCCATACACAATTTCGTGGCAGAAGTGAGCCAGCATTCTACACTGTTCTCACTGACCGATGTAAATGTTAACTTCTATGAGAAGTTTGGGTCGCGGTGGGGTAACTATATCAATTACTATGTATGAGTTGAGAGAAGTCAAAGAGCGTATTCTAAATGTATAATTCCTGCTTAGATGTTTATAAATTGTAAGAATACTTTGATATTACTGTATGTAAACTTATTTATAGAAAGTTTTATACCCGCTAAACTAGAAGCATTCGCAAAATCAATGCGGTCATGTGCGGGTTTGGTACCGTTGACATTTCAGTTCCGTTTCGATAGACAAAGTACCTCAGACAATTTCGTAAGTTGTCCCAGTACAATATCTTTTTCGGAGTGTATCTAAAACAATTACGGGCTCTCTGACTATTTCCTCGCTCACATCTCACGAAACATTAGTTGCTTACATTGATCCATCTGTGTGTTCATCTAATTTCGTTGTTGTACAGCAGCTTGAATCCCTTGGTGCCTAAAACAACCAACCTCACGCAGTCAGGGATGGTAAAACGGGTGCTCCCATATGTCACTGAGCCCCCAGACCAGGCTGTGGTGACCTGCGTTTGGCGATACGAGGGCAAGGCACCCCTGGAATCCGCATGTGTCGATATAAAGTTGGAACAACTCGCAGATTTATATTGTACTTCTATTTTCTTGGTGTTTTTGCAGATTTCGAAAAGCCTCCTTCCTATTCTGAAAACTTTGCATCTGCCTTAGACGATTTGAACGGTATCAAAGAAGAAAAATAAATCCCTCAACATCTCTCGTCATCTTCATGGGCGGTGACTGGTAGGCTCTTCTAGCTCTTTTTTTTTGTGCTACCTCTGTGCAGTTATACAGTTATAACAATAACAAAGCAGTCAATTTAAGTGGCTGCAGTCAGCTTGAGGAGACTGTTGGGCCTATCTTGGAAGGTGCATCCAGGCGGTGCATTTACTTCGCAACAGAATGCCTTAGACCAATACATTTAGCCTAACGTTGCATCTAGTTCCAAAGGCTTCCGGCGGCCAAGTCGCACGAAACATAAACACCTGTACCTAATGCCTCATTCTAGTCCACCTCCGTCTGCGGTCCTGATCCCACTCTACATCTATCCTCTGCCTCATGCATGGACGCCCCTGTACGAAGCGTAAGTGTACACCCACATCTCAAGCTCACTTTCAATCTTACCCTACCCCCATCCCATTCTGTTCGTGTCAATGTGTCCCTTCGCCGAGATGTTTCCTACAACGGTTTTCAGGTTTTCAGGGGTCGGAACACCTATGTGCCACTGTGATGGCGTTATGAGAGAGCCTCTCCGATAAATCATACTCTTTTCAGACAAGACTTCACTAACGGTTCTAGAATTTCTACATATCCGAATGTGACTTTTGTGGTGATAATAAATCCGCATAATGGGCCAGGTGCTTCGTCTCAACCCGACGCCGCCTACTCACGGGAACTTGGCAAGCTGAGCGTATTGGCCAATGTGAGACTCGTGGGATACGTGCGCGTTAACTACTGCGAGAGAAATCTGGCCGAAGTTCTTGAGGATATCAACAAGTATGCGGGATGGTCGAAAACAGCGATCCGATCATCGTCCCCGACACCGTCAGATTCTGCACAGATGAGTGTGGCGGTACACGGCATCTTCGTTGACGAGACGCCCAATTCGTACACAGAAGAGAGAGCCATGTACCTGGAGAATGTGACCAGCCTGGTGAAGAAAACACCGGGAATCTTGGGTGATTGTGTGGTAGGTCTTCCTTCTTGCTTCTCGTCCCTTTTCGTTATATGTTGTCGTCGTCGTCATCTGATCTACTTGATCGTCTCTTCTTATGCTCAATACCAATTACTCACCGGCACGGCATAACCTTAGGTCATCCATAACCCAGGTACAGTTCCTGACATCGAACTTGCCGAATCAGGGCCCGATATTACCACGGTAGTGGAGGAAAGTTGGTCAAACTATCAGTCGGAAGCGCTTCAAGAGCGCATGTCGTCGCTCTTACGTTATGACCGAAACCAATGCAGTTTTATGGTGCATTCGGTGCCCGTAGAGGAGGTCTCCCGACTGGTGCAAGAATTGCGCCATCGTGGTGCATATCTCTTCGTCACGGATCTGCGCGAGGATTACTATTGCCGCTTTGGGAAAAGCTGGGGTGATTTTGTCAAGGCCATGGCGGCGTAGTGGGGCAGTGATGAATACGAGCCGGATACCAGCATCGTGGTGTGGTGTGGCTTCCGCAAGCGAGATGGTCTGTGAATGGTATAGCAACATAAAACTTTTGGCATCAAAGAGCTCTTGCTACCGTGGTGAGGAATGCACATTTGTCTTGACTGGCTGGAGCTGAGAAGAGACAGCTCAAGCGTTCGAAATCGGAAATCTATGCCGCGAATGAGCGCAAGTCATTCTCGGGCCTTCAGCTCAACCGGGTCTGGCTGTTGAAGCATGGGTAGTTCAAAAAGATTGACTGGAATTGGAGCAAAGATGAATTGCTGAATCCGGAAACTTAGATGTTTGCACAACGTGACTTTTTTTAAACGACAATCTAGTTTTGAGGAAATTACAATAATGCGCTTAAGTGGATTGGAAACACTGACCATAACTTAAAAAATAGTACCTGAGTTGCCTGGGGATATGAGCTACTTGCGGTCCATTCCCGCAATAGTAGCCCAGTAGTGTATTAGAAGCTGGGCGGTGCATTGAAAATTGCACTACTCTTCCCGCCATATTTGCGTAAGCGGTATAGTTGGTGACCGGAATAAAGGGGGCATTGAAGAAGCCAACGAAGATTAGATGACGGGACGGGCTGATGTACCTGCATGGTGGCATCGACCGCACGAACGAAAGCTGACTTAATCAACATGGAGACTTCGGCTCGTCAGACGTGAAACAACAAAACATCTCTTTTTGGTCAACTACGGCTTAGCAGCCGAGCGATTTTGCAAGACACACATTACCATGACAGCTAAGAATAATGTCGCATCAATCAAAGGAGCTGGTGTTCAACTCCTCAAACATTTAATGGTCGGACCTAAGAGGTATACCTGCAGCAAAAGTCTTGTGTCTATAAACTCAAGTCGAGTAGCATTGGTTTCAAAGCCGTAAGACGAACCCTTGTACTGTTGTTCTTCGAGTCGCTCATCGGCGAAAACTGCTACTGAGAGGTTCTGATGCTTCTAGCTCCGGACTACTCTCCAGTTCTCATGATTGCCATGACTTTTAGGTAAAGCAAGAGATAGCTCACTGACCCATTTCGCCACTCTAGATCTAAAACTACTTGTGAATGGTTCTCAGCCGTTCATAATAATAAGCCTGACGGATTTTGGGAGGTAAAATGTACACACTAGGGCAGAGTCCCAGCCACCCAAGAAACCCCAGCGACTTCGCAGGTCCATTTGGATTCAGATGCTAGATATGTTTACGTCTGGTGGGAGTTATCGTTTGGTTTGCCTTATGTGAGATCTTCTTTTGCAAAATAGCTGGACAGAAGTTGGGTCACTCATCTCTACAGTACCTGGTCCTGAGCTCGTTTCGGTTCTCGGGTCTCAATGCTTCCATTTGGTACTTGCAAGATCGACACCTAAGACAAGAGGATCCAAACACCCGAGGAGATCATAACAAACTGCAAGTCATATTAAAATGTATTGCTGACGACGGCAGGAAGCCAAAAACAGGCTGCTAACAAGGGTCTACAAATTCAGCACACAAGACTTTCAAGGGAAAATCTCCACGTGCATTAGAGTGCTAACCTAAGGTTACTCAACCCGATTCTGCGGGACCCCTGGGTGTCATGAACTGATGGCACCTACACGTTGCTACACCAGAACTAGTGAGCCGTTGCTCTGAGCCAGGGCTCCAAGGACTCTGGTGGCTTGGTGGCTGACAAGTTTACAAATTCTCGGTCCTGCCAGTCCCCGAAACGACAAGAAATATCAAACATGTTGACAATCCAGATCTCCGAGCCACGCAGCCACTGTGACTAATTCAGAATTACAAACATTGACTTTTGACACCTCATGAGATCTGGATCTTCTTGGTAGAAGGCCTGAGGGTTCATGGGGAACAAATATAAGTCAAGTGAGCGCTTCTCTTGATGAGACAATCAACAAAAGCTTCAACACTTTCTTTACCACGCTCGTTACTTGCACCATTAGTTTCATACATACCCGATTCTCACGTATTCCATTCCCAATCTCATCATAATGTCTACCTTCGAAAACTTCCCTCTCGATGACAGCTTTTCCATCTCCTCATCATCCCCCATCTCGAGAACTAGCACTCCAGCAACTGTTCATTCTGGGTTCTCCGAGACAAACTCTCGCACATCCCCCGCATCTCCTAGCGATGAATTGATTCTTGTAGTTGGTGGACTTGGATATATCGGAAGCCACACGTCCTGGGAACTTCTGAAGACTGGACAAAATGTGATCATTATTGACAACAACTGCCACTCTGAGCTCAGCGTCCTCGACAAACTCGACAGCCTTGTGGATTCTCACTACAAACTATCTGAAGCCCAACCAATATTAGATTTCTACCAAGTTGATTACCGCGATCAAGAACAGATGACTTCTATCCTTTCCAAGTATAGGAATGCACCAGATTCTGCCACTAAGTCAAAAATAACCGGTGTCATCCACTTTGCAGCCTACAAATCAGTCGCAGAGTCCTTCAAAAAGCCACTTCAATATTACTCAAACAACGTTGCTGGCCTCGTTGATTTCTGTACCATCCTTGGAGACGTCGGTATCAAAAATCTCATCTTCTCCTCCTCGGCAACTGTCTACGGTGAACTAGCGAGTCAAGGCAGTCGCCTCACCGAATCAATGGCGGATAACTCGTCTTGTCACGGTCTTACCAATCCATACGGCCGCACCAAGTGGGTCTGTGAGGCCATCCTCAATGACCTTGCGAGCAGCGACAACGAATGGAATATAACCGCTTTGAGATACTTCAACCCCATCGGTGCGGACGAGAGTGGGGTGCTCGGCGAGGACCCCAGTGGCGAGAACTTGATGCCAATTGTCGTCAAAGCCATGTCCGGAAAGCTAGAGGCTCTCAGCGTCTTCGGGACCAACTGGGATACACCGGATGGAACAGCCATCAGAGACTTCATCCACGTGTCGGATCTGGCAATGGGTCACCTAGCGGCTCTCAAGAAGTCCACTGGGCCGGATGCAGAGACTGGGTACCATGTCTTCAATCTTGGGTCGGGAACTGGGAATAGTGTCATGGATATTGTTAGCTCGATGCGAGAAGTCTCCGGTAAGGCAATTCCAATTGTTGAGAAGGGGAGGAGAGAAGGAGATGTTGGCGTCTGTATCGCTGAACCGAGTAAGAGCTGGACTCAGTTGGGGTGGAAGACTGAGAAGAGTCTTAAAACTGCTTGCTATGATGTTTGCCGATACCTCGGATATGTTTCTTGAACTGTTATATATTTTTTGGCGGCAGTCTTACGATTGACGAGTTTCTCTTTCTATGATGGATTTGTTTTGGATTAGAATATATGATACCTGATGTAGCTAATGGCGTAATTGAAATTAACCCAGCCCTTTTATTCTGATTTGACATGTATAACGTACAAGTATGTTATCATCTATCTGCCAGATAATATTTATCACGGCCTTATGCTCATGTACACCTCCGAAATCACTCTGATCACCATCCGTCATCCGTGAAACAGTAGAATCAAAACCAGTTATTTTCAATCTCCAGAATCTAGACTTCTTGTCTCCTGAACCTTCAGCCTCAAAACTGCAAACTCCAAAGAAGTCCAGATGTTTTCAGCAAGGCAGGTACTTATGACATCCGTCAACGCCGTTAGAATGGGGCATATCAGCTCAATGTAATCAACACCAACGAAAAAATGACAAGTAATATTCTGTCCAACAAAAAAAGGTTTGATGACAGCCACTTTCTGAGGAGCAATTTACATTCTCGGGTCTGATGGAATTCTGAAGGCCATTGCTGATGTTGAAACCAGCTACAGGACAATGTTCGCTTATTCCAGCCACCCTCGCCACCACCTCCAGGTCTGCTCTCCCTTGGCGTACTGGAGCTAGCTGCCTTGCCTCTCTCTCAGCTTTACTGTACAAAACTCCCAACACCCCAGAATAAACCAAAATCTTATGATTGCTTGTGCACTCGGTCGCAGCATCAAGCCCAACATTTAATTAAAAAATATGTGCAATATATCATGTTCAGCTAGTGCTTGACCACCACCAGCCCAGCGGCACCCTGAAATCTCCACTGCATCGCTGATGGTTACACCATTGCACGCAAGGGCCCCTCCATTGCACCACGGACTGACAGTATGTTATCCTTCTATTATGTGTTCACAAATAAAACGAAACGTAGAGAAGATCAAGCTAGTAGGCTTGTAGGGAATCTAAAGATTTCCAACTTTAACTCTCGAAGAACACAGTACAAAACCATCCTGTCGCCTGTCAAATATGGTGCCAAGAAAAAAAAAGAACAAAACTCACATCTAGTGGGTATTGAGTTGTAAACGGCATTCTAGACCACCGGTTCAGCAGTAGGTACATTGCAGTTGTCTCTAACACGTGCACATATGTCTTTACCTACCCTAGGTACGTGCCCACCTGTATGGGAGCGTCATGAAAGATATGCGTGCCAATGTAACGAAGGAAATCCCCTCCTACCTATTCAGAAGCTTCATTAATAGTGTGACAAAAGCTCAAAATTCCTAATACAGTAAGTAGTATTCTATGAATGCTATTGTACTCAATAACCTCTAACTACCTGGTTTTCAGCTTCCTAGGTATACTGTGAGGACCTCAACCTCACACGTGATGAATCCTAGATATTAGACGTTCAACAGAAATATCTCCACAGCTTTGTTCTCGACCTTTAGAAAGTACGAAGGAGAGAAGCGTGGCCATTATCAGTGCAGCGATAATGGAAAAGAGAACGTGAATGGTGATTAAGTGTAGTACCGGTAGTCAACCTCCGCAACGGGAGTTCCAACAAGTTCCAACAACTCCCCCGAGTCCCCTCTCATGACCCAAGCGTTGAGCCGAGGAATTTCTGAATCCAGCAATATCACCTCATGGATTGAATCACAGCAAAGCAATTCCAGATTACACAAAACGCATGAGGACCCTAAAAAACCCCACGGAAGCCAAGCAAAAATCTGTGCAACCCTCGCCGCCCTCCCTTCCTTCCGAGTCTTACTGTAACTGTATATCGACCACTCATTCAAAAGCAACCCTAATACAACAAACATTTCTCAAACCATATTTCACAGCCCCACCAAAAAACCCACAACGAAATCAGCAGAATTCCCTCTACACACACACACACATACACACACACACACATACACACATACACACCCTCACCTCCCCTCCTCCTCCTTAATCCACAGAACATACCCGAGTCCCAAGTCCCAAATCCCAAGATCAAACCCCAACCTCTTAGAACCATTCAACACAAACACTCATCCACTCCCGAAAACCGACAAAGTCCAAGCATCTCCACAAGAATACTGCAATTTACCTATGTAGTTCGATCAGATACCTCATCCCACCACAGTACCCACAATAAACTCCCCTTACACCAAACAACCCCAATCACGTTATCACAGGACACGCTTCCATCTAAGGAAGGGCATGAAAATCCTCAGACGCAAGCATGGGAGGAAACCTACCTAGGGTACATACAATCGTCTACCCATCCCGAGCCGTCCTACACATGATATATATCTACCCCAGCCCACCCTACACAGTCCTCCAAAAGATCCGAAGAAGAAAAAAAAAAGATACCCAGCCAGCCAGCTACTCTAATCCCTAAAATCAACATTGTTAGGTGAACAAGATAAGCAATCTACTAACACCTAGATAGATATAAAATCATCACAAAGCCTACGAGACTGATTCAGACCTACAAGCGAAAAACCCAACTCACATCCCATCTCATCACGTACGGTATGATATCAAGGTACTACAAGCATCACTTCAAAGACCCCATCCATCACTTATAATCACCCACATCAAAGCAACATATACCTACCAAAAGACATCAAGATCCACCCATCAGGAAAAACGTATACAAATAAAAGAGACAAAATAAAAAAGTCAGACACAAGGAGAAGAATAGGAAAGCCTAATAGTAATAACACAAGCTCATCATAAGAGCATAAAAACAAACAAACCAGAAAACATACATTTAATTGGCCTCCCTCCACAAGATGAAAAGATGGAAAAATGCCACGATGAATGTATCTATCATACCCATCCCATCCCAGATCCAGGAGACCAATAAAGCCAAGAAAGAAGGGAATCCATTGGTTCGATAAAGTAAGGTAGTAGTAACAAAGGTAAGGGGAAGGAAAAAAGAAAGGGGTTGATACATCTGAGTAGCAAGAGACAAGATTAATCCAGTGCCGCCGCAGAAGAGAAAAGGGTCATTAAACCCCCTCCTTTCCTCCCCAAAAACACCAGAACCAAAGCTGCCCTCCGTCACTCCTCATTTCCATGGCAAAATCCATCATCATGCGAGTTGTCGCTCAGCTTAATTGATCGCACAACCTGCCGCCCACCCCATGCTTTGTGAATTCGAAAGACCTTGTGTACATGTTTGTTTGCGTATCCCCACCGCCATTACGCATCCTTCCAAGCCCCACACATACTAGACACTCATCTTACATACCCTCGTACTCTCCGCCTAGGTCGTCCTCATCAAGATCACCATCTTGAATCTCCTTTGCCATTTCGCGTTCGCGTTCTCGGGCCTCTTGGGCGTTCTTGAGTTCTAAGCGATGTTGGTTCATGGGGAATCGCATTGCCTTGGGAAGTGATTAGTCATAATGTACAGGCATTCAAGTGGGAAATGTGACATACCTTGACACTTTCGTCGTGCAGACCGAGGCACGCACGAATACGCTCATGGAAAGCTTCTCCGGGCTCTCTGGTGGCATACACGTCTCCAACCTCCTTGCTCTTCATAAACCCTCGCTCTCGGTCAAGGGAAGCCTCAATAACGCCATCACGGATCGCCTTTGCAACAATATATTCTGCAGATTCTTCACTCTCCAGCTTCAATCGGATGCAAATATCGCGAAGAGAGATTCTCGAGTAGGACAAAGACATCATGCGAATTCCAGTTTTGATAACGTTCTGGCGGAGGCGGAGGATTAGGGTGTAGGTTCCGTCTCGTCGGAAGGTCTCGCTGTGTTGCTTGATGGTGCTTTCGAATTCTCCCAGAAGCCCAACTCGTACAGCCTGAACAAGCTGCAGGTATGGTTCCAAGGCACGCTCCATGCTGGCAACACGGAAGGTCGCACGTTCCGGAATGTCACCCATCAATAATTCAACCACTAGTTTCAACTTTGTTGCACTTTGGGAGAAACCTGCTGCACTAGGACTCGACGGTGCCTTTCTTGTTGCTGCTGTGAGTTGTTGTTGGGCCTCGGTGTAACGTAATTGGATGGCTCTGATACGACCTAGATAATATAAGTATCGCGCAACCTGGTTGTTCGATGCGTTGTCAGGGAACTTGGTGTGTGTTACAAGGAGATCGGCTTGAGTGATGTGGGATGTCGAGAGATAGTTTCGTAGTAGCAGGACAATGACTGTAGATTGTGTGTCGACATCTTTTCGCAAAACAGCTGTTCGTAGAGCGGAAAGAAGAGCAGGGCGCAAAGACACGACGGGTGAAGCGGGTGAGGGAGGAAGTGGGTGCATCTGCTCTGCGAACATTGAGTAGTAAAAGTAAACGCGAGCAGAAAGCGAATCCAATGTTCGTCGGTTCAGCGAGTGTATGCGCTCAGCAAGATGTGCCGAGAAAACCACACCCTTTTGTGTGATCTTGTTGTCAAGATAGTAGATTTGTGTGAGAATTCCAAGGAAGATGTCGACTTCTGGAATGATCTCCTTTTGTTCCTTCTTCCCGTTCTTGGTTGCTTTCGACTCCGAGTCGATTTCCATTTCGGTCGAGCTCGGCTTTGCAAATGTAGCATTTTCTCGGTCGAGTGCAACTAATAAAGACCTAGCTGCAGGACTGTTTGAAGGATAGGTATCGGTGATAACCTGGGCGAGGATATCGGGTGTGAGGCGTTTGCGGATGGATGAGATTGATCTCAGGGCTCGAAGGGTAAATCTTGCGTCGAACAAGGTAACAGCGCGCTCGAGTAACGGGAAATTGCTCTTGATATCTGCCAGAAGAGAGCGAATGTTAGCAGACAAGATTGAGCAAACGGCAGATGAGCAGCAATTCCATGTACCTGATATAGCCTGTGTGACTGGATCAACTTTGACCGCGCCATCGTCCTCTCCTGCCGCCTCGCCGTCCATAGCAACATCTCCGTCCGTATCCTTCTGCGGTGGAGCAGAGAGTTTGGAGCCCTTTGATGGCGGCACAACCACCGTCATCTCTTCCTCGCCTTCCTTCAACTTTTTGCCCTTTCCTCCCTTCAAGGGATTTGGCGCATCGTCTTTCATCTCGACATCCTTGGTACCATTGATTCCATTCTCAACTGGTTCGTTGCCGTTGGTATGGGGGGTCTTGCTAGGCATATCGACTACTCAAGCGTCCGTCAGGCGCCCTTTATGACCTGGCCTGTGATGCTCTCGGCGATCGCGTCGAATTGAGGGACTTGAGGTAATATCAATAACCGGAGCTCAAGGCGACTGTGCGTGGATGGGAGATTACGATGCGTGAATTATCGATGGACGAAATAGTGCGTGGTGGTTGGGAGTTGACGAGATTGTGGAAGCTGTTGCTGTTGATTACACTCTTTGACCACGCCAGGAAGCTTCAGATCACGTGTCAATGAAGGACGCGGCGATTCATTGCCTGAAGTGGATCTGGAGGACTCCACTGCTGAGTACTTGTACTGGTAGAAGAAAGTGATGTCAACGTCAGGTGCAAGATTTTGGTGCTGCGGCACGGGTTGTGACTTTCCGTGAGCACAACACTGTTGGACTCCACGGTTAAAGTACCTGTAGCTATAGAGATTGGATTATCCTTCGAGTTCTAGACAGACATCGAGGCGCATACCTATGAAGGCTCCAGCTTGGAGCAAATGGTGCCTTGATTCTGAGGATTAAATTTGACCTGAAAGTCACGTTTTGCCGAGTTCAAAAAGACCCGAGGGGAACGTTGGAATTGGTCTGCACTAGGAACTTGCAGAATTCTCAGTACTAGATGCATCCTAATACCTTCCATAGATGCTTGAATCGAACTGGAATTGAAATGGAATGTCGGTTCTAGCACGTGATATAAATACCTCACCTGCCCTGCAGTGGAAATCCCCTGCCAGACGTCGCGGGCAGGCCAGTACCTCACAGAGAGAGGGAAACCTAGAGACCACTGTGCTTTTCTAGTTCTAGTATGCTAGTTTTCTTTCCTGCGCGGATTGATTGAGGCTCTAATTCAATGGCCTCTCTCTTTTCGGCTTGGCCTGGGTCCTAAGGTCCTAACCTAGACGAACCCCTCTAAGACGACGGATCGTATTAGTCGTTTTGAGGCTCAGAGCGGCGCATCTGGAAAATTCTTTTCACCGGGAAAGAAAGGCGTCAGAACTGCACCCCGGAGGAAGTATATCACGCAACCTGAAGTATAACATGAGACGGATGCTTCCATCCACTTACAGTGCATCCTTTCTCCTCACAAAACAGATCAGGCTAGGGCTGTGAGGTCATCCAAGCCTGTCACCCCCAACCCCAACCCCCCTTGACGTTGCATACATATATATTAATTCGTGGCATTCTACATAATTAGCCTGTCCAACCCGAACTGGGATGGTTGGATCTATTTCCAGCCAATTCAAAAGAGGGCCTTCGAACTAGCAAAGTCGGATATCATCCTTTGTTCAAACAAAAGAGGAAAGTCGGGATCTGGTGGGATGGGACAAACCCAACAAGGAAAGCCCTGACGAAGTTGTTGGAGCTATCAACTCTTTAGAGCCCGAGGTAGCTTCAAAATCGTGGAGATTACTTGTGGTCTGACCTCATCAAACCGCGACTCGATAGAGCTCAACACACGCAAGACAAGTCACTAAGACGGCGTGTCAGTAATTCTCGATTTTTTCCTTCGCCTATTTAGCGAGTTTGTTCCGATCGTTCAGTTCCGGCCATGCACTACTTCCTAGCTATTTGACACCGCTCCCAACCACTCTTGGCCCAAGTTGGTCCTTGAAGTCTCTTGTATTCCTTCTTCCCTTCCTCTTTGAATTTCAATTCTTTCAACCATACACTCGTTTGTGCTCTAAGCATGCGCTGTTCTTATTTTCTCAAATGCCTATTGGCAGTGCCTCTGTACGGCACTTTGACCTCAGCTATCACTGTAAACAGCACAATTCTCGTCCTTGCAAGAGATGCTGACAGTGCCTTCTCTGCAACTTCGGGATTAGATGGTTATGGGATTCCCTACCAGACACTCATTGTACCACAAACAGGTACAATATTACCAGTGTTGAATTCAACAAGATCCAGTGGGAACTATGGAGGATTTATCATCATGAGCGAACTCAGTTACGAGTACCTGAATGGATACGCGAGCGCCCTCACCGCAGCTCAATGGCAGCAGCTTTATGATTACCAGACGTCTTTCGGAGCTCGAATGGTGAGATTGGATGTATACCCATATGGGGCATTTGGTAGGTTGTCTTTAAACCAAGGCACAAGTCAATCATTCTAATATGTTTTCAGGCGTGGAAACAGCGATTTCTGGACAGGGATGTTGTGACAGTGAAACAGAACAGGCCATCAGCTTCTCCAACTTGACAGCTTTTCCAACTGCAGGCCTCGTAAAGTACGATCTTTGAGAGCTATCCATAAGTGATCATGTCTAATAACGTAATAGAGGCGCTACCGTGACTACCAACTCTATATATCATTATCCAGCAGTAATCACCGACCCATCGACCACCACTGAAATTGCCCAATTCAGCCCTGCTGGAGCTTTTACGAACACTACCACCGCAGCGGTCATCAACAACTTTTCTGGTCGCCAACAAATGGTCTGGTTTACTGGGTTTGCAACTCAGTGGTCTGCGTCTTCCAACTTTCTTATGCATGCTCACATCAATTGGATCACCCGTGGCTTGTGTAAGTTCATTACCCATATTGCGGCTACATTACAGTCTTACAGTACCTCTAACAACATTTACAGATGCCGGTAGACGCCGAATGTACTTTGGAACTCAGGTCGATGATATGCAGCTGGCAACCACGATATACCAAGACACAAGGAGATTCAGAGTTCGAACTACAGACTTGGACGAGCACGTCGCCTGGCAAAAGAGACTCCAAACTCGCCTTCCTGCTGGCTCATCATACATAATTGAGATGGCTCACAATGGGAACGGAAACGTTCAATGGGCCCTACAAAAGGACAATGGCATCTGCAACCCAAAAACCTACATCTCGTATTCGCAGGGCCCAGCTCCACCACTTGAATTTCAAAAGCCTTTAGGGACAGGAACTGATGTTTGGCCTACATCTCCCGCCAGTTATAAATGGTCAAATGATTGTGTTCGGCAGGATCCTGTTGGGGCGTGGTTTACAGTCGCAGCGAACCGTGATGCGTTCCTGCATGTCTCACACACCTTCTCCCATGAGAACTTGAACAACGCAACTTATTCCGACGTGAACAAGGAGATGGAGTTCAACAAGGCTTGGCTTGACAAAAGCACCATATCTGCCGGAAATTTCTCCAAGAACTCACTGGTTCCTCCAGCCATCACAGGATTGCATAATGGCGATGCCATCAAAGCTTTTCTGGATAACGGCATCAGTGTTGTGACCGGAGATAATAGTAGACCTCTAATTACGAACCAAGTTTGTCTCATCTCATTGTACTGCCAAATATCGTGGCTAATATTTGAACAGGAAAAGCCATTCTGGCCATTGATTAGCAACGTTGCTAATAATGGATACGACGGGTTAACGATTGTCCCTCGATGGCGTAAGTTGTATTCTCCTTGAAATTAATCTACTCCTTTCTCGTTTAATTCGAATCCTAACCTTTAATACCAAGCTACTCCGATTTACTACGACTGTGACACGGCCAACTGCACTCTAAGCGAGTGGATCAATGTTTCTGGTGGATATGGAGGCTTCAGCTCCCTCATTGACTTTACCCGCTCAACCGATACCCGACACCTGCTTGGTTTGCATCATGATCCGTAAGTTGGCTTATACAACTTCTACCGGGCACGCTGACCAATTCACATAGATTCATGTTCCACCAAGCAAACATGCGACTTGGTGATGTCCCCACTTTCACAGCCGGAGACCAGACCGGTCAATTCTCCCTCCTCCAAATCTTCACCGAAGTCGTTCTTCAAGAAATGATGAGATTGTAAAATCCCCAATCTTCCATCACATAATCCCCATTCACTAACAAGCAACAGGACAACCTGGCCTGTCGTCAGTCTCGGTCTAGCCGGCCTGGGAGAAGCCTTCACAAACCGTATGAAACGAGAGTACGTCCCACCAAGCCCTCCATAATATCACGCAATACTAACATCCGCATAGCAAATGCCTACCATATCTCATCTACACCATGACCGACGCTAAATCCTCCACCACCGGAACACCTCCAAAGTTCATCACGGGCGTCACTGTCGGTGGAGCATTGAACAACAAATGCACGACACCGATTCCCGTTACGGTGCCTGGAAACAGCACACTTCCATCGGGAGCTACGCGTGAGCAGTTGGGTAGTGATTCGCCGACCATCTGGACGAAGTTGACTGGTAGAACGGTTACGATTACTTTGACGCAACCTATCCCTAATTAGACTTTTTCTTTGTTGTGTCTTTTGGGGTTGATAGATTTAGATAGTACTCGAGTGCGCGCTTTTATTTGCGAGTGTTGTAGACTTCATTTACATATACATATATACTGGATTCATCTACCTTCCACGAGTCTGGTTGCTGTTGTCGGATTCTTGCTAGTGAGGGTTGTAGCTCTATTTACTCTATTTTGTACTGATCAAGTAAAACAAAAAATATGAACTTCCGTTACATATAAACCGTATAATTTATTATAGTAATTAAATAAGAGTAGATATTATATGTTAATACATAGTTAAACAATCAACTAAAGAGTCTAGAACTCTAGCTAGTAAGTAAATCTACGTACGTCCTAGGTAAGATAGTACCATATTTTCTCATCCCAGTAAATACGTTCTTACTACTCTTTTAATAACCTCTGAACGGTGCAGAAGATACCTAACTCGACTAAGAGACTCAAACTATAGATGCCTTATAAGGTAGCATGGTTTTCGCCTTGGTCGTCTTGAAAAAAAATAGGCTCTAAATAGAACTCATGCTTTGCTGTCTAAGGCGAAATAACCCCTATCCCTGCCTCCCTAAACTAACTTTTCAACTCCCGGTATGCAGAACGCTGAAAAGGGCTTGGTTACGGTGCTCTCGCCAATCAAACCGGTGGGATACTACCGGCGATCTTTAATCAAGCTTTTGGTAGTGAAAAGTTACGGTGTAAGAGATAATGCTTTTTGAACCCTTGCTACCGGACTCGATGACTTGGCGTTTCTACTTTAGTGGAGGGTTGGGTGTTAATAGGGAATGCGTCATACCTCACGGCAATCTATTAGCAAACTAAGTCAGCACTTGAAGCTATTCCCAAATACTCTCACTGCCGCATCCTCACTGTCGTATGCTCACTGCTACGCCTGAGTCGCTGTGACGGATCAGGGGGAGTGGAATATAAACCTGCCCCGGTACTGAGCGCTTCACTTGAGTAGTGCGCCCGTCTTACTGGTTTTTTTAATACCAAAACCTCCAAAAGATTTTTTAGAATAAGATTTTATATATATATCCTATACGTATATTGGAATTGCTAGCGGATTCAGTACAGTTAATCCTTGGCACGAGATGTGCACTTTAGTAAGTTTTTTCTTTCTGTACTCCGTGACGTAGCGTACCTTCTTCGCTCATGCGGTTGGTCAAATAGCATTATAGGAGAATCAGGAAGCATTGTAGACGGATCAAAAAAAGAATGGTAGGAAATTGTAGGTTAAGGTTACTAGGATGTTTGGCGTAAAGTTAGGGACAGCATTAAGCTTATTCGCTTAATTATATACTTGGCCAACGGCCACACTACAAAGTCCCTACAATTGTCCTTGAAAAGCCATTTCCAGATACGGCAGAGCCGCGAAGAACCTCAATTTGGTGCTTGCGCTGGTAGGAGCAACCCAAAATCAAGACTTCAGCATGAGCTTTCCAACCTCTGCATTGAGTTTTGTTAGCAGCATTTCCAGAGGCTCTCTGTGTAAAATAAAGGCCCTCTCTTCAGATTCCAGAATTTTGTTCACTCACTCTCATTCTCATTCTCATTCTCGCACCTTTTTTTCTTCTTTTTCTCTCTCTTTCTTTTCTCTTCAGAATATTATATCTTTCACACGCTAGATCACTACTATTACGTCTTTCTACGATGTTGTTTCCCAACGTTCTCGCAGCTGCAGTGGTTCTTTCCAGTTTGGTCACTGGATTACCTCTTGGCGACAGACCAAATGGGATCGAAATTATGGACATTGCCCGCCGGAATGCGGAGCCTTATAATCCCATCAAGCCTTGATCAAGAAGGTCAAACAAAAATCAGCCAAAGTACACCCTGCCAAAATATCTGATCCAGTGGCTCCTAGGCCTGCAGTGCCTGCACCACGGGTCGTCAATAATCAGTCGTTGATATAGGAGTTATCCCATTTGGTTCTTTTTTCGTGTATGTTCTATTCAAGTGTGTAGTTCTGTAGCTACTAATATCTATGTATAGGTTTTGGACAGCCTCACGTGCCTCGCACCTTCAAGGTATCGGGACACCTGGATACCAGGGTTCAGATGTACAGTGGCGGTTCGTGAATATTCGGGGGTAGGATGGCCAGACTCAGAGTCACAATCACCGTATGTAGCTTCAGATAAGCCAGCGGCGTGTGTCCTTCGGGAGTGGGTAACTCGGCTAGATCTGTTCCACCAGTTCTATTATGGATAAATTAAGCGAGTAGGTAGGCTAAACAAGGCGCTCCATGTGGTGATCTTTGAACTATTCCTTATTAATGTTGGCAATATCATGACCCTTAGCGTTATCGTGCATGAAACTGTAAACGTGGTCTTTTAGATACTCACATTCAGGGCCGGCCTGGGCGTTAAGAACATCTCGGTAGGGGTTATCCGAGTACCTGTCCTTCGCCCTCTTGAAATCGTGGTTTACAATATATAAACTAAACCGGATGTCAGCCCACAAGCAGCCCTACACCATGGTCGATGTTTGGTGCTAGCTTTATAGGTTATAATCTTGCCTTTGTTCTCCTTCTGAGGAGCCGACGCAGTGTCGATCCATGTGGATACTACGGCAGTTCTATAAGATTAGAATTGTACTGCATTTTCTCATCTGTTCAACGGAATAAAGGCCTCGAGTCTTGATTGTCTGCACAAAAAGGCAAGGCAAATAATTCCAAAAGATATTAACAGTTTTATTAGATACAAAAGGCTTGTCAAAGAACAGATTTTCATTTGTAAATTGGTATCTTGTAGTGTAATTACTAGTTGTTCCGATATAACATGGTCATGGAGTATGAAGCCTTTGAAGTGAGCGACTTCCGGGAGAAGGTCTACCAGGCCTCTCCCTAGGCAGTGTCCTACAATCCAACCGATCAGAGAAAGCAACATTTTTACCAGCAGAACAGAAGCCGTTAGTCGTCAACAGTATCTTTACCACCCGTTCTTTAGAGCCATCTGCGAGTATAACCAGGAGTTTATCCATGGGGTCGATGGTATTGGGATGATCTAGGAGTTGAAGACCATCGATTACACAGAGTAGAAGTGGAGGCCCCAATGCTAGGAGATCTCGAATGAGATTAAGAGCCGTAGGAATACTTTGTGGTGTTCCATCGAGAAGGGAAAGACTGGATCGGATTGCATGCGGACCTTCGATAACTTCAGGTGCGACACAAATGAGTTGACGAGTTAAAGAATATAGCAAGGCGATCAAATGTTCTTCGGCACGACTCTCTACTGACACCCCGGGCGTGAATGATCCGAAACTTTGTGGATGAAGGAAATATGAAAGCACAGGTATATCTGCATCTGTTGTTATTGTGGCAACATGAGAAGCCGCAGTTGAGGACTCAGATGGAAGGCCGGATCTACCTATAATCCACAAGGATTGCGAAGTAGCTGCTGATATCCACGATTGGAGGCGTGTAATTATTTCTCCAGCAACCTGTGAAGTTTCCAATCCTGTAGATGAAGGTGGAGCTGGCTTTACGATGTATTTCTCGAGGTCACGCGATTCAAACTGTAGTTCTGCTCTGCTACGCCTCGACGCCTCTTTATGAGTGTCAGTACAGTTAAACCCAGGCGGTAGTTTTGCTTACCAGGATTGTATTTGTTAAGGTGCTCGGTATCTGCAATAGCTAATGTCTGTTTTCCCGAACTGACATTGATAAATGTACCCTCTTCGTAAAGCATTCTGCTTCCAGTGGAGATAAGCATAATTTGGCCCGACTCCCCAACCCTTCCAAATAACATCTCGAGCCTTTTCAATTTTTCCGTAACATCCTGAAGTTGGTCATGGATTGCATTCGTAGTATCGTTATTTCTTCGTGTGATTCCTTGGTCTTCAAGTGTTGCCTCTCTCACTATTTGGCTGACAATACCCTTGATGACTGTGACCTTTTTCTCAACATCGTCCGTGTAGAATTTCTGATTGAAAGCTTTTCTCAATCGTCTAGCCGAGGAAGTGTACCACTTCATGGCTTCGCACAGGAAATGGAAATACTTGATGTACAATTTGACGATGAGCTTTTTCATAGAATCAGTGCAATGAATTGCACCTTGTTTTCTGATGAATCTCATATCATCACTTATCTCGGCAAGCGCTTGTGATAGCCCTTCAGCGGTCTCATGATGTCGAGCCGATGCCTGTTATTATTAGCCTCATACGCCCCCCTCTTCACCCTATTGAGGGATCCCGTACCTTCACAATGGAAGATATGACTCCTGTAAACAAACACGTGTACTTATCGCCTTGTGGGAAAAATCGAAACATTTGTGAATGGGTGTCGAGAGTTTCACAAAAGGAGTAGAAATAGTCCTTCGCCTTTCCAAACCCCTTTTCTTTTTTCCCTTCCCATTCCTGCTGTACTAATGCCACAGTTTTCTTCACGGTCCAAATATCCGGAACACCTTGATAAATAGGCAGTCGTCTGTCAGTCTCTGGGAGCTGCAACTTGAAGTCGTTCCAAGCTTCCGCCAGAGCCTTGCATTCTCTGTCCAGTTCAATCAATACCTCATCTCTATATGGTTATTTAGTCGGTCTTCAAGGTGTAGGGAGTTGTTGTGCTGGGTCTACTTTCTCTTTTGCTCCACTTCCTTATTTGATCCACTTATAGCTCTGCTGCCTAAATGCTTCATGTCTGCCTAAACCTTACACTCTTTATATAAACACCTTAGATAGCTACCTTTTACAATGGAATCAATTCTCCATGACCTTCAGTACCTAATACCCTTTAACCCAATAGGAGTGTATTTATTTACTCTTCCTGATCCTCGAAACGTAGCCATTTCTGCCATTCCTGAACTTTATAGGCGTTCTTCCTCTCCCACGAGAGGCTCTGCTCTTCTACTCGTGTCACGGCCTGTGCGGCGGTGTTCTCTGGTAGGTTACCTGCTGCATCTAGACTATACTGTCGAGCAAGTCGTGTGGCCTCAAACTCGATATTGTTTCCAGACATGAATCATGAATGTCCAAGCGTCAGTAGTAAAAGTCAGACAAGAATCCAAGTCCTCCTTGATGCAAGATCAGAAGGGGTTGTTCTGTAATCAGGCTCCCGTGCCGTTGCTGTTACACGGTGACCTGCATGACAAGTCTGATATGGCTCAGCGAATGAGGGAGTTGTCGCATGCAGTGAGCAGTCCTCTACAGCAGCACAGGCGGTGGACAAGGATTTGGTGATGGGACAGCGAACATCAGTTCGTAAAGCAACCATCTTTACTATCGCTTATCGAAGTTGTATAGAATCGACAGAAGAGTGATTTGATTGACATAAATTCACTCAAGCGGAATTTGGAGGTAGTGTTGGTTCAAGGTCCAGCAGATCTTGATGCTGCTTTTCTATTCTTACATGGGGTTGACTTTCGTGGCGACCACCTTCCTGCACGTTACTGGCCCCCAATCAATCAAAATGCAATGATCAACATGGATAAAAATAATGGTGGGTGGGGTAGGATCAGGCAAGAGCTGAGCCTCGAGCCCTCTCGCTCCTTCCTCATTCTTGCTTCTTTTATCTTGAACAGGCTGAGTCACAATCATCATAAATCTTCGGAATTAATGTAAGCTTCAGGTATATTTCAAGGACCGAGTTTCGGATAGAATCTAGAGTAAAATCACTGACATTGGTCAATAGAAGCTCCAAGCACCCCGTATGTTACCAAAACTTCCGATAGACTCTGATGCAATGTCAAATATGGCAGAGCTAGCTACAGGACATAAGCTCAATGTTGGGCCCCAGGAATCGAAAGAAAACACCATTATTGTTGGAACTGACAAGAAGGATCCACAGAAGGAAGATGTTTCGGACGCGGGTTCAATGAGTACCAAAAATCCCATTTCCGCACCACAAGCCTCACAGAATGAGGACAAAAATGAACAAATTTCACCCTCTAATGAACAGTCTCCTGATCCTGCCAAAACACCTTTCTATTGTTCAGTCAAAGGGAAAAGCCATGGCGCCTTACTAGAGTGGGGAATGACCAGCTGCCCAGCATGCGACATCAATCTGTCGCAAAGTGATCCCACTAGCCAACAATCACCTTTTCTACCAGAGACAACACGCAGCAAAAGTGAATATCCCAAAGATAATATAAGGACAGCCATATTGAGTACAAAGTCAAATATCTGGATATCGTGGGAGAATCACTTGGTATGGATCCCTGAGATGGTCCCTTTGACCTCGAAGCAGCCGAAGCAAAAGCAAGCGGGACATCCATCGAAGCTACTACACCAATATTGGAAGTTCGGTCTCTTCTCCAGACTGATATTTCCGATGACAATCCTAGAAATTCGCTGAACGGGGGCCTGGGTTCTTCCAATCGCAACATTATTGGGAATAAGGACTTTGATGTCGAACATGTAGGGACTGCGATAAAGATTTACTCTCGACCATTCATTCACGCCCTTCAGAAGTTGATCTCATATTGGCCGGATACAAGTCTTGTGGCAAACTCAGTTGAAATCATGGAACCGTATGCGATTCTCATCCATCATTTGGATGCACTTGAAGCATACAAGATGACATATTCCGAAGCAACAGGCCGAGAGAAATACAGAGACCACCCAATTCACAAGAGGACGGATATCGAGTCTTGTAATAGAGAAACCTTTGAGCACATTAACATCATCAAAGGATACCTTCAACCATACCAAAAGGACTCTATTCGAGAGGAGAGAAAGCTTCACCAGCAAACACCCGCGGTTGCTACATATGCCATGCTTTGGCTGTTGTTGAAACCTGGGATAACCGTCTATGCCCAGCTTGATGGCAGCACCGCCGCCTTTGTTGTATCAGAAGTGAAGTGCAAACCGAGTGTGTTGAGAAAACGTGGGGCTTATCACGTTAAACTCTGGTATCTCGATTTTGATGGTAGACATGTTGGTCGCCGAGAACACAATGCCATCATTTATCCCTTCGATGGTAGCAGAGACATCACCTCTTTGACTGTTTATCCATGCGAGTATCACGACAACAGTGATGGTGGTGCGTTGCGCACGAAGCTCGAAGACAGAGGCGAAATCTTTTTCAGCATGCTCTCCGGGGCTCAAATGGAATATTATGGAGAATCGTTGGGAGACAAGATTCAGTGGGTAAGCTAAAAAAAACTTTACCCTTCGGAAAGATCCCTTGAAATCAAATCTAGAAACTAATGTCAGTTTGTGTAAGTACGAGGGCCGTGTTATGATCGACAATACATCGTACTATGACTATTTTACCGCAGATGATCAGGCGCGTTACTTCAAGGAACACTCCGGTCCGAAGAGAGGGGAACGCGGCCATAAGGAATACGTCTTCAATCTTTTGCACAGGCCTGTACTTGGGGAGCTGCAAGACTCGGAAGATGTTCAACGATGTGGCTGTATTGATTGCAAAGAAAATCCGCAGAGAAATAGAAATTCAAGCTTCCTGTGGTCAAAATACGACAACATCGATCCTAAGATCTCCAAAACCTTGAACTTGGAAGACCCATCTACAGGCAAAATATCCAGACATCGATACCTACTTTGTCCCAAGCGAATTATGGGGTTCAATCTCAAAGCTCGGACATGGGGTACGTTAATCGTACACTACTTAAAATTTTATTTTACACTACTAAAAAACCTGGAAATAGACCCTCTGAACGTGGAATGCTGCTCCGACCCAAAAATAAAAAACAGGGCTATTGACAATCTAGTTATGCCTCCAGACAGGCTCACGCTAATTAAGGCTCTAGTCAAAAAATACACCGACAATGATTCCTTGACAGGCAAAGGAGTAATACGGCCATGGACGGCAGACTTTATACAAAACAAGGGCGAGGGACAACTCTTTCTATTGCACGGAAGCCCTGGCGTAGGAAAAACATATGTTAGCTTAGTCTAAGTTCCCAAATCGCGCATTTGCTAAAGTATAGACAAGACAGCTGGTCAGTTCCAGGGTCCATAGGCTCCTTGCTTCATCATCAAAACTGACATGCATTCTAGAATGTATCAGCGAGTCGACTGGACGCCCCCTGCTTTCATTGACAGTTAGAAACATTGGCACGAATGAAGCGTTGATGGAACAGAATCTTTCAAAATGGTTCCGCTTGGCAGAGAATTGGGGAGCGGTGATGCTCGTTGATGAAGTCGACATATTTCTCGAGAAACGAGTGATCACGGATATTCATAGGAATAGTCTGGTATCAAGTAAATAAATGCACTACCCGCGCGAAAGACTTTTGTGACTACAACTAACAAGGAACCAACAGTATTTTTGAGAGCCGTTGAGTACTACAGAGGGATTCTGTTTCTGACAACAAATCGAGTTGGTCATTTCGATGATGCTTTCATTTCAAGAATCCATGTTGTAATTCATTACGAGAAGTTCAACGACGAATATCGGCAAAGAGTCTGGACCCAATTCTTCAACAAGCTAGAGTCAGAGAGAAAGAAGGAGATTGCAATCAGCAGCAGCGCGAAAAAATATGTTCTCAATGACCCAGACATGCGACGTATTCCATGGAATGGACGGGAGATTCGCAATGGTAAGTTCTAAGTCCCAAAGTTTGAACCTCAAGCAAGAGGTTGCTGACTCGAAACGATAGAGCTTTCCAAACTGCAGTCGCATTGGCCGAATATCGCTTTGCAGAGTCGGAGGATAAGGAGTAAGGAGATAGAGCTTTGTTGGAGAGAATAGATTTTGAGAAAGTATGCGAGATGACCGGCTCCTTCAAGAACTATTTGACATCGGTTTCTGCTAGTGCGGATGAAAGCGGGCGGGCAAAAGGAGAAGGCGCTCGTGACGACAACTACAAAGAGCACTAGAATTTAGCCACATAGGGACGAAAGAGGCCTTCTGATAGATGGACCAGAGAAGAGGCACTAAATAGGCTGGGCTTCAAGATCGCTTCTAGGATAATCTCGTTTGGAGGTATAATTTCAACAATGGAGTTATTTGCTGTTATTTCCAGTGTTTGTTAAGCAGGGAAATTGCCATATACACGATTACTTGAGATATTCAATTCTTTTTCCTTTTGTGGAATATCACAGTTTTCCAGTTTTCTACTTCAGCTCAAGGCTATTTCGAACTTGGAATAACTAAGAACTTCATTTATTATAGAAATGTGAGCTCTTACGGTACGTGCAAGTATAGGGAGTCAATAACGAAATGATACGAGTTCAAGAGATAGTTGATAGTATGAAGTGTTTATTAAGTGTCTAGAGTATATAAAGCCTGCTAAGTACTACGTGGGAGAACTACCCAGAGATTAAGCGAGTGAGCACTGATCCATGGATACCTACCTACAGTCCCTCCGTAAAAGTTGCAAGATATTTCGCGACCCCAGAACGTGTGAAAAAAAGCAGTTTATATTTAAAACGCCTTGTAAAATATCCTGCAACCCACTAGTAGATGGTCCTTGGTTCTTGCTACTTTTGCGAAGGGGCCGTACCAGGACCAGCACGTACACGTGATAACCACGTGACCGTCATCTAAGACTGCCTACCTGCAGACGGGTACCTAAGCTGAGCCACTCTCTAGATGGTCAAGAAATGTAGAAAGGTCATTTTGTTCTAGCGTAGCTTAATTTATACATTTTAATTCCCCCTATTAGAATATTGTGATTGATGACCGGAAGAGCTACTCTACTCCACTTCACTCTTAAGCCCTGTGGATCACAGGGTTCGCACCAGTTACATCCACAACATTCTACGCGCCCCCGCATTCACGTATATATCCGTGCTCGCGTACTTTCAGTCAGCAATTATAAATATACGGCAAGGATCTAAAAACAAGCAACGATCTGCGTATATCTGATAATCTTCCGGTGGCTAGCATTCCCCCACTTTCACGTCACGTTATCATTTGATTCGACGTCAATTTCCAATCCCGTCTTATCCCTCTGAAACAAGCATCGTGATGACCGTTGTTACCAAACCCTAATTCAAGACGATACAGATGACAATCTCGCAAAGAGGCGGGAGCGCTGCTGGCGAGAAAGGTCAGCGCAGATCAACGCCAAGGAGTAGATCTGGATGTTACACTTGCAAGTGTGTCTCTCCCGCCATACAATACTTATGTCAAGTATCTTGTAGACTCGGTCGTGCCTCCCTATCTAATCAGAGATGAAGAGTTCGACATATCAAATGCGACGAAGCACTTCCTTCCTGCAATCGGTGTATGCTGGTAGGAAAGAAATGCGAATACACGGCTCCTACTAAGAAAATCAAACCAAAACCCTCAGTCCCACGAAAAATCAAAAAGGTTCCTGGAGAAATCGTCTTCTCGGTGTCAGACAATGATCCCTTGACACCACAATCATCGCCGGAGCTCTCGTCGCCGATCGTTCGCCAAGATACATTATATTTTCAATATTTCCGTGAAATCGTCGCAGAATCATTGTCCTGGTCTATCGATTCCGAGTTTTGGAAACGGGCTGTTTTGCAACTCTTGGATTCGGAAGAATTTATTCAACAAGCTGTCGTTGGCCTTGCACGATTGCATCGATGAGAGGCCCTCCCTGTTTCTGAGAGAGCAAAGGAGCAACAGCAAGCAAGTACACATTATATGGCTTCATTGAGGCTCTTGAATAAGAGACTTGATAGCTCTAGTACCGGTCGAGGGCTGTCTCTCTACGGGTGCATTCTCTTCATCACACATGAGACACTTTGCGGATACAATTTACGTGCAATGAGACATTTACATGGTGGTTTGGCCATACTGAATGAAGTTCTTCCCAAATCATGGGTTGGTACCCCCTTCGTTAGCCCCGAATCTGTTATTGACACACGAAAGAAATTTCCTGAGAGCTTGAGAGAGATTGTATCGCAATTGTCACGAATCAATATCATTGCTTCTACGTACCCGTCATACAGTTTCAATGCAAATATTATACGCCGTCCTGAAGTGCCAAAAGAGATCTTTACAAACGCACAGGCTTATGATACTCTGTGCGATATCATAACCTCGGTCCAGCATCTACGCAACCTAGGTTCAGAACATCATTGCCAGTACATCTACTCGGTCATGCCTCCCGATCTGCCCTTCAAAGCAAAACAATTGGAAATCATCATGGACCAATCCATTCCTACCAGAACAATCATGACGCAATATCTCGCCGCTCGCATAGAAATCTCTATGATAATTTATACAGAGGAACTCTCTTACGATAATTTCACTGAAATGTACAACGAGATCAACGAACAAGCAGCGGATATCATTGCCAGTCCAAACTATCTCCGCTCTGTGGGAAGTTTTGGAATTATTCAACCTCTTTGGTTGGTAGCAAATAAGTGTCGCGACTGGAAAACCCGAAAAATATCAATCGATCTACTGAATCAGTCTGGTGGCCAAGGACTTTGGACCGGAAGGGCATTGGCAGTAGGAGGCTTATGTGTTGCTGAGAAGGAACATTTCGATAAGGATGGGAACTTTCATGAATTTGTGCCAGAAGAGAGAAGATTACGAAGGCTTGAAATAGCCACTGCGACATCGAAAAAAAGTGTCTCAGTCATCGGAGCTCGGAGAGATGTGGATGGGGATTTCACATATATAACGTACGTTGTGAATCGTGGTTCTGGGAGTGTATCAGTTGGTAATAATGATATGGAATACTTTACGACGAGGTGGAAAGCATATATGATGAAAATACCCACTACAATAGCCAGGGATGATAAAATCTTAAACAATTAAATAAAATCCTCGCAAAAGGCTTCTTATTGAGCGACTATGTTTTTCATTAGATAATCAGCGGCTTCACAAGTACGATACTGTTCTGTGTGCATCCAAAGCCCTCCAAAGCTCGCTCTTAACATAAAATCTTATATAAGTGACTTATTTACAATTAAACATTCAGTAATTAGCAATTCCGTGCTCGATTAGCCTATGTCCATTGCGTAAAGACCAGCTCTACGTAAGAAGTAGAACCAAGTAGCAGAGTGTGAATAATATCGCAACAGTATTACGTTAATGGCTCCACAACTTGAAGACTTGAAGTAAAAAGATAAAGACAAAACAAACACAATGAACAGAATACATCCCTTCCTAATACACAAACGAATGAAATAGTCCTTGTCTTCTTCACTCAGTACTCTTCAGAGTCCAAACTCCTCGTTACCAACAGAGCGCTTGTGACCACGACCCTTTGGTGATGGTCCCGACTTTTTCCCAACGGTGTTAACTTCTATCTTCTGGTAGCCGGCGTCAGTAGAGGTTTCTCGCTTATGACCAGCACCTCGTCTTGAAGGACCAGAGTAATCCTCAATCGTATCGATTTCTCGTTTGTGACCAGCACCTCGTCTGGACGGACCAGAATAATCTTCAACTGTGTTAATTTCCCGTTTTTTGTGACCAGCACCTCGCCTAGAAGGACCAGAATAATCTTCAACTGTGTTGATTTCCAGTTTTTCGTGACCGGGACCTCTTGAAGGACCAGAGTAACTCTCAATCGTGTTGATTTCCCGTTTCTTGAAAATGGCCCCCAATGGGGAAGATGTATCGAGTTGTTTATCTGTTGGAGCGCCCATGGCGATTTTCTCACGAAGCGCTGGATTTGTAGCCGTGTTTTCTGTGTCTCTTGCTTCTGCATTGCTGATTTCTGCTGTTGGCATGGCAAGCAAAGCAGAAAGCTGAGCGCCGAAGAGGATGGTAGTGGACAAACGCATGTTGGTCGGTAGTAGATTTAAAATGCTGTAGTGTGTTCCAAGAAGTGAAGAAAGTAGAGTCTTGAAAAGTCATTCGTAACTTGTAAGTGATGATTGTTCTCAGAGGAGGATATCTATAAACTTATATTGATCATCTTCAAGTACGCGAGGGTACCAGATCTCGGTAGCGAACCAGCTACGTAAGTGGTCAGATGTCGTGCATGATCCAAGCTTGCAGCGGCATAAATAATTGGAAGTGACCTGACAGTAGAACATGGGTCACAGTATCAACATCCGCCCCATGTCAATCCGGTGCAAAATAGGGTCTTTTTTTTAAGGGTCTGATCCATAACGGTACTTTTTGACTTGAGGCGAACTCCCCATGTTAAAAGCTCAGTAGTCATGCGATTTGGGCCATACAACAAGCAACATCGTCATATCTCTGTTCTTTTTAGAGAGCATATAAGAGCTGAGGTACATCCTGCGTATAAGGGGGGGGAGTATTAGAGTTATTGGATAGCTCGCGATGGACAGAAATAATGTTGTGCTCGTGCACATTCGGAAAATAAAGGAATAAGCTTCCATGTGCATACTGTAACATGAGGCCACAGCGCCGTACTGTAAAATAAGTAAAAACTCTAGATGTAGGCAGAATCAACCTATTACAGTAAAAGTCAGGTTGATTTTCTGATTTCTTTCAATGTAACATTATAAAATTGTTGGTACGACCTGGTGGTCGTGACGACGGCGAATACGGGATTCTGATCACCCTCTGTTGGGGTAACTAAATCGGTGTATTCATTTGTTCGTGAAGAGTAAAGGTAGAGAGAGGTGGTACTCTACGAGCTTAAGTATGTGAGTGGCAAGCCACTCACATGACACCACGCATGTAGAACCACCAGGCTCTCGTACGAGGTGCTAATCACTATAATTATATACCGACAAAAATATCATCTAAAGCCCAGGCAATGATTTTTCGTTTGTGCAAGGTCCCAATACCTTTTTGGCCTAGTTGGATGAAAGACAAACCAGACTCTTACCAAGAGTGTGCGGCAGAAATTGGATACGATACAAGAATTGGCTACGTGCCGTTCTGACAGAATAAAGTACGAGCCCTATGCCATGATTCATAAAAACTTACTTGTCAAGGCAAACTTTCTTGCAGCCCCATTTGCAGTTCGTTACATCTTGAAAAGGGTCCAAATAGCTATACCCTTTGCAATCAAGCTTTTAATGCATCAAAGAATAATTTGGCTTTTGATACCAGTATTTTATGTTTTGAGTGGGAGGGTTCCTTGGGCAGCAGGTCTTCGATCATCAGTGACCACCGTTGATCATGACTATGCCATCAGTATGAAGAAGAGATGAGGAAGCACCAATTGAACACGATGATCAGCAGGTGCTTCTCAATATGAGTGCCGCGATGCAATTCTGAAATTTTCATGACAACATTTACCGCATTTTCCATAACATTCCATCGCGGAGGAAGGCCTGGGCTGTAGAATAGTTGGGGCAGCAAATTTGTGGGGCTCAAGCATCTGGATCCGAACAATAGGATTGGAGACTACAAACTCTGCGACGTCAAAGTAAACTACTGGCCAAAATGCACAAGCCACAATGTGGGGAATCAAGAGCCAGTCAGGAGAGCGTACTCGTATTACGGTATAGCCATCTTTCGCACCAGGCATGACTCAGGCTTAACTTTTACCGTACTCGCAGCACTTCAGCATACCAAATAAAGCTGGTACTACATTCTAGTTTCGATATATCAGGGTTCATAATAGACCTTTCCTACCAAAGATATACTAATATTAGGTCTGCGATGTAAATAGATGGATCTATGCCGATGTGTCTTATAACTCAATCTGCCAGATGCAGCAGAAGGCTGAATATACTTCGAAGTAAATCGAGATGGAAATTAATCGCTATTTGGGTAGTAATCGTCATGAACGTAGTGTCTGAGATCATTGTGCTTACAGTACCAGTATTGCATCTAGAACGTTGAGCTGCCGTCGAAAAATCAAAGACTGTGCACTACGGCAGCGAGAAATAGAGTTACGATGGCACCAGCCAACGCAGATGCTCTGACTTACAGATTGCCAAGCTACAAAATGGGGCGGACCGCTAAGGCTGCTCTATGTTCCGAAGATCATATGCGAGAAAAGTCTATAATGTCTAGATCGGAGCCTCTGATTTGCTGGTTTCGCTGAAAGGTGGGGCCGAGGCATACTATTACTGTAACTTGCCCAGCCTTTTTACTGTATGAAAAGGGCTACCCATGTTTCAGCCCTTTATTTCTGGGTCCTGCTCCCAAATTGAACGGACCCTGTAGATTTGAATCGCCCAAGTCCTGGACACGTGCTAGCCATAGAACTCGCTTAGAAATTTTCCGCGTAAAACTTCTTCTTCCTCGGCAAATGTATAGGGCAAAGTTGTGTCAACTGACAGATGTATTAGGCACACTGAAGTAAGAATAGGCGCTCAATATGACAGTTTCTATAATGACTAATATAAATATGACACTAGACATGTGGCGGCTGATGAGCTATCCGGGCGCAGGCAATCGAGTGGGGCCGACCAGCTTCAGAGGCATTAATAATTTAAGGCTGAATAAATATCGCACGATGAACATGGCTGATTACGCTCACATCATGCAAATGGTACAGCCCCGATTTTGTGGTTTCCAGAAAAGGTATTCAAATGGACCAACTTTTGGAAACCAGGCAAGAATACCATGGGATAAATCATTCACTTGCAATGCGGTATTTTAATTGGAACTTCCCGCTGATAGCAGGTCACAGGATGTTCAAGGATCTGAATAAAACACTTCCGCTCTTTATCTCAGGATACTTCATCACAAGCGTATTAGTTGTAACTTTCCAAGGGTGGCTTCAGTGGAAGTGGGAGTATCAAACCTGGACCTACAAGGTAATCTTACTTTGTAGTCTCACAAGTCAGCGGCATGTATTCTTCGGGACTGGGTAACCCGGTGGATAGCCCATTGACACCTTATTCGCATCATTCTTCTGTGGAAAACTGGATCAAAGCCCTTGTAACAGTTGCAATTACAAGGCCTGGGACGAATTTCACCTTTTCTAGAATAAGGCGAGGGAGACTGTAAGCATTCTGATAGAATGAAACAGAGAAATACAGAAGGTCGCTTAACAAATTGCCGACTAACCATGTTGACCTGCCGAAAACTGCAACGGCTCAGTTCGTATGTCGAAGGAAATTTCAGGCTAGAATGACTCAGTTTAACAAACACCTGCGCGAATGAATGTTTCACGCCCAGCCGTCCTTTGAATCTTCTTAAGCGAGACATCGAATTCGTTCCAAGCAAATCGATATACTTTCCACTCCCAAATGTTTGTAGATATGAAACATGATATATGAAGGTGACTGATCCACTTGATGGCATTTGGTCTAAAATTGCTACTTTGTATGCTTTTATTTAATGAATAAGTCGAAAGTGTTTCATTTGGTGTGGAAGTGGAAGATATGACTTTAAATCAACACTTGAAAGATATTTACTTCTAAGGGGAGAACGTGTAAATCGCGATATTTTCAACAAAATGATCCTCGTTTTAAATTTTGTAACCAGCCAAGTTAGTTTTCGAAACCTAGAAGCCTCAACCATACCTACTGTGAGAGGCCAGACCTCGAATAGCTCAAAGGTGTGGTTTCGAATATTCAATTAAGAAGTGCGTGAAGACTACATACATGCAATCTCTTCCTCTATATATAGAGAGAGGAAGAGTCTCTGGAATATTCCAGGAAGCTGCCTAACGAATACATGATGTCAAAAGAATAGAACAGAAAAGTATGGAACAGCAGAGACTTGCTTGGCAGTGGGGGAATGGCCAGTGCTGAGCGTGGACTTTGGTCAGTGCTTAGCGAGGGCATGGCCCGAGCCTCCATCATGGGTTTCAACCCTCACACCTATTATTATTATTATTATTATTCCTTTTAACGTGCTGTGTGAGTCTGAGACTATAGTAGCACGGCTGGGGGTTTTCCCTCCAGCAGATAAATGAAACTGTACTAAATACATGTGTGAGAAGGGGGTTGTGGTGAATACAGTTGTTGGGTTGTTGGAAGCAGCAAGGCTTCTGGTTATAACAAAGGAAAGAAAAAGTGTGTTGTAGTACGCCCCCTGCGTTTCACGCCCTGTATCCTACTCTTCCTCGTCTTCCTCTTCATCTTCCTCTTCATCTTCCTCTTCCTCTTCCTCCTCGGCTACTCGTTGTGTGTGCCATATTCTAGTAGCGATTTTGGTGGTGCGTAGGAAGTCTAATGTGGCCTCAACTCCTTTAGTGGTGTGAAGGAGGGATTTCATGGTGAATTCTCGAATGTAGTGTTTGAGGAGGTTGCGCTTAAGTACTTTCCTAGCATCTCCAGTTTCTGGACAGCTAAGAAGTAGGTGCGTAGGGGTCTCTTGTCTTCCACATCTGCAGCGGTTGTTTTTGGTGTGGCCTAGATTGTGTAGGTATGATTTGAAATAGCCATGGCCAAGCTTTAGCTGGTAAAAGGCGCTGGCTATCTCTCTTTTTGTTCCTTGAGGGACGCGAG